AACACAATAACATGTTTCATTCCTGGTCCCTGAACACAATAACATGTTTCATTCCTGGTCCCTGAACACAATAACATGTTTCATTCCTGTCCCCGAACACAATAACATGTTTCATTCCTGGTCCCTGAACACAATAACATGTTTCATTCCTGGTCCCCTGAACACAATAACATGTTTCATTCCTGGTCCCTGAACACTGGTACCCGAACACAGCTTTCATTCCCTGTCCCCGAACACAATAACATGGTTTCATCCCTGGTCCCCGAACACAATAACATGGTTCATTCCTGTCCCTGAAACGACACGCTAAATCTACACGCATGATTCGTTTATAACTGTTTCTCCCCCTAACACATTCTCCTCCATCCCCCAACGGCAGCTAACAGGTTGCAGTCTTGATGTGTGTGATAGTGTGTCGCTCCCACGTCATTCCTGTCCCCGAACACAGTGAACAGGGACTTCACGCGTGGCACTCACGTTAATACATGTCGACTCCTGGTTTGTCAGATCGGAATCTTAACATCTGTCTTGTCTTTGAAATGAGTTAAAGTCATTATTTGTTTGTGAACATGAATAATATAAACGGTCAGTCCTGGTCAGTAAACACAGTAACATGTTTCATTCCTGTCCCCGAACTGCAATAAACGTGTTTCCATCCCTCGTCAATTATTATACATAAAGAACTCGAAACATACATTACTTCATGGTCCCCGAACACAATAACATTATACAACAAAGTCCCATAACTCAATAAAGTTTCACCTGGTCCCGAAGAACAAGGCGTCCCCGAACACAATAACATGTTTCATTCCTGGTCCCCAACACAATAACATGTTTCATTCCTGTCCCCGAACACAATAACATGTTTCATTCCTGGTCCCCAACACAATAACACGTTTCATTCCTGGTCCCCGAACACAATAACACGTTTCATTCCTGGTCCCCGAACACAATAACATGTTTCATTCCTGGTCCCCGAACACAATAACACGTTTCATTCCTGGTCCCCGAACACAATAACACGTTTCATTCCTGGTCCCCCAACACAATAACATGTTTCATTCCTGTCCCCGAACACAATAACACGTTTCATTCCTGTCCCCGAACACAATAACATGTTTCATTCCCTGGTCCCCGAATTGTTTATTTGGTCTCCAAGCACAATAACATGTTTCATTCCTGGTCCCCGAACACAATAACATGGTTTCATTCCTGGTCCCCGAACACAATAACACGTTTCATTCCTGGTCCCCGAACACAATAACATGTTTCATTCCTGGTCCCCAAACACAATAACATGTTTCATTCCTGTCCCCGAACACAATAACATGCTTCATTCCTGGTCCCCAACACAATAGCATGCTTCATTCCTGGTCCCCGAACACAATAACACGTTTCATTCCTGGTCCCCAAACACATTCCTGGTCCCCGAACACAATAACACGTTTCATTCCTGGTCCCCAACACAATAACATGCTTCATTCCTGGTCCCCAACACAATAACGTGCTTCATTCCTGGTCCCCGAACACAATAACATGTTTCATTCCTGGTCCCCGAACATAATAACATGTTTCATTCCTGGTCCCCGAACACAATAACACGTTTCATTCCTGGTCCCCAACACAATAACATGTTTCATTCCTGGTCCCCGAACACAATAACACGTTTCATTCCTGGTCCCCAACACAATAACATGTTTCATTCCTGTCCCCGAACACAATAACATGTTTCATTCCTGGTCCCCAACACAATAACATGTTTCATTCCTGTCCCCGAACACAATAACATGTTTCATTCCTGGTCCCCGAACACAATAACACGTTTCATTCCTGGTCCCCGAACACAATAATATGTTTCATTCCTGGACCCCAACACAATAACATGCTTCACTCCTGTCCCCGAACACAATAACGTGCTTCATTCCTGTCCCCGAACCCAATAACATGTTTCATTCCACAATAACACGTTTCATTCCTGGTCCCCCAACACAATAACATGCTTCACTCCTGTCCCCAACACAATAACATGCTTCACTCCTGTCCCCGAACACAATAACGTGCTTCATTCCTGTCCCCCAACACAATAACATGTTTCATTCCACAATAACATGTTTGATTCATATTGAATACAATATTTCCTGCCTCCGAATACAATAATGTGATTCATCCATGGTACCCGAATACAATCACGTGCTTCATTCCCTGATCCCGAATACAATAACGTGGTTCATCCCTGGTCCCCGAATACAATAATTTGGTTCATACAAACACGCTGAAACGACAGCTAAATCTACACGCATGATTCGTTTATAACTGTTTCTCCCCTACCCGTCCACATCTCTCCTCCATCCCCCCAACGCAGCTTGCAAGGCTGACAGTCTGTGTAGTTAGTGTCGCCCCACGTCATCTGAGCCACGGCCCAGTGAACAGGGACTCACGACGCGTGGGCACTCACGTTAAGTACACGTAAACGACCCTGGTTTGTCAGATCGGAATCTTACATCTGTTTGTCTTTAAATGAGTTAAAGTCAATATTTGTTTGTGTTCATGAAGGCATAAACGTGAAATCTGGTGTGTAAACATTGTAAATTGGCGTGTGTACGTGTATCTGCACGTGTGTGTTTCCATAAACGTCAATTATAATACATAAAGAACTCGAAAATAATTACTTCACGGACTGCCTAACACATTATACAACAAAGCCATAACTCATAAAGACCAGCGAAGAACAAGGCGTAGTTTATTTCTTATAAAACATCGTAGTTGGGCGCCATTTTCATGAGATTCCCGATGCGATATAAAAAAGGGGGGTCATAAAACTGACGAAACTATTCTTGAGAGGCTAGCGAGTAATTTTCCTTCCAAGTAGCTGGGTATAGTAGATAAAATAATGGCCGAACAATCGTATCGAAATTTGGGCTAGATATGGAAACATATAACGGAAGAAAAGGTCCAGATAATGGCCGTCAGATATTTTGACCTGTGTGAGACTATCCATGGAAGAACACTCACGCTCTTTCCCTCTATTCGTTCGAGACAGTCATCAAGTCATCGTTGTTTGAATACGGGTAGAAATTATTAAAGATGCGATATATAATGTTGATATCTCACTGATTTGAGCCAAAGTAATTTGTTTATATGACATATACTGTTTAACAATGATTGGCGTTATTGCTCGTTTTTGCAACATTTATATATCATTCACATTGTACATTCATCATGACATGTTTACTCTTCCTTCCATTGTATCCCGGAGCGGTATTCATATAAGCTCATGCTTATTTACCAATCCGGTTCCTTTCATTGCAAATAAATGTTTAAATCATATCTCACTGAGAAATAGACAATTCGCGTTCACTGATTTCCGTACAACAAAAGATAATGCAAGGAGAATAAACCAATCGGGCAGGGCCAGGTTTACAGATCTGTGGCCAGTCTTCAGATCGGATCGGATATCTGAAAGCAAATACTTTCTTTTCATCTTATCATCGTACATCCGACAAAAAATAACTGCCGGAACTGATGAAATGATAGTGAATATCTAATGACCACAAAAGTCAGTATCAATTAATTTGTAGATCAACATCTGGTGTGTCGCCATGTTTGGTATTTTCTGATGATAAACATGGACAAAACCGGCTACAGTGCCAACATCAACAGCCTACCATGCGGACATGGTTTCAGCTTTAGGGAATCATAATCCTTCCTGATATGGTAGTCTCGGGCCGATATGACTGGCGAAAGGAAAACTATCATGTCATAACCTCTCAATATATCATGGGGGCCAGTACATACTGACATACTGGAGTCATCAAAAGGCAAATCGGTGACTAACATCGACAGCATCGGAAGTACAGAGCCACCATCAGCCTAGTCGCATAATCTGTCCGATCCCCATTTGGTCAACTGTTACGAGTTTGGGTTTAATGCCGTCTGTAGCAGTAACCCGGGAGTATCACACCGTACTGACTTATGTGGTCGGAAAGCCCAAAGTGACAGGGATACCTGTGTACCCATCTGGGATTCGAACCCACACCCTCAGAGTCAGGCACCAAATCGCCAGCACACTAAGTCAGCCACCTAACCTTCTCTAGTGGAAGCCACTGTGGCTAAGTGGGTTAGGGTATTAGGTGCCTGACTGAGGGTTTGGGTTCGAATCCCACATGGGACCCAACAAAAGTACTAAAATCTGTACTTTACTGAGAAAGTGTAATCCCAAATATAACATGTTGCATATGACCACTTTCTAAATAGCATTGTGTATTCATATTCAATTTACCTGCTTGCTTTATGAGTGAGTATGGTTTTATGCTTATTCCAACAATATCACAGGGAGGGACCACAGGCCCTCATCATGCTCATGTCTTTGCAAGGATTAATGATTAAAACAATGTTGTTTTTGAGATGACCCCGACTTGAATTGCTTCACAGTTCAATACATCATAATGTTTTATACTGTGAAGCATTTTGAGTCGGGGGTCATCTCAAATTTGTGTATATATTTTATCAAATCTTTAATCCTCGCAAAGACACATGCAGGGGTCTGGGAGGGACACCAGAAATGGGCTTCACTCGTTGTACCCATGCAGTGTTAATATCAATGAAACATGGTCTTCCTGCTGTTTTTGATTGAGATGACAAGCTACTGTAACGTATTAACCACTGGAGGATGAGCTGAGCAGGCATTTACTCAACCACCACATAATTTGCCTGCCCTGCCTGCTTCATGAGAAATTTGCATTTCACAGAATGAATGGCTGATTGTTTACTGCTTCCAGATTGGGAGTAAACAGCAATATCGACCTATCAGAAGCTGAATGGTATTGCTTCACACTCATGAATTAAAATGAATTTAATGTTGTGATTGTTTAGGAGAAATGAAGCATGTATGCAACACCATTCAGTGCAATGGCCAAGTGAAGTGCCTTGACTGATGACCCTGTTCAGTGCTGGTACTACTTCCCTACAACTATTGAGCATGATCACAAACAACACAATCAGACAATGATGGATTTATTGCCATCACCAAACGACAGGAATCATAGTATGTACATTGTGTTTACATAGCACTGTCATCATACAGGGGAAATAAGGTTATTCAAAACATGTTTACATTATCCAACTATCAATACATTTTCACTATTCCAACATAAACAGGTGACATCATTTTCACATCATCCCAGCCAAAACAAAATCTGACGTCCCAACATCCATGCCTCATGCAATACATGTACAATCTACCTTGAAATTCAGCACATTACTTACCAACAAAAGATCAGCATGAGATGATAAACGTTGTCAAATCAGTCAAATACACCATTATCCCCACACTTCAGGTTTTTGGGGATATGCAAGAGTACAACATTCAAGTCATGAAATTATAATGTCAGTGATCACACCATTGCAAGTAGTGCAGCGTACAATCTGGACGCTATATGTAGACAAGGAGTCTCTCCAACAACTCTTCAATCACCACCCCATCCCTGTCACATCCCTCTCTATTCACATAAATCCCCCCTAGCCCTTCCCAGTCACATCAGGTCCCCACCCCCAATCACGTCCAGCTGAAGCAGCTCTTCACTTGAGGCCTTTCTTCTTTATCTTTGTACTCTTCAACCTTGCCCTTCTGTCCAACTTTAGGAATCGTGGATGATTTTCCCTCATTTTTCTTGCTGTCTTTTTTAACACCTTTCTTGCCCTTCCCCTTCTTCACTTCCAGTTCACTAGTCACGGAATCATCCATATTAATCTTCAACGAACCACTAGTGGTCCGAGTTAGTTTGATGACTTAATAACATTAGGGGGTGTCTTGAAGGATATTTCGTCCTCTGTGCTGTCCTCCCACAAAATGGCCTTGTTGCTGCCATCCTTTGCCTTCACAGTGTTTGGAACAGGAGACTTTACATTCTTCTTAACAGATACTTTCTGGAAGGCAAGAAGACTTTACTGTAAAGGCTAAATCATGCAAGGGATAAGTTTGAAAAAGATATGACGTTATCATCACAAAATGAAACTAGTGCCAAAAACAATGGAGAAAGAAATATACTGAAAAATGTAATTTTTGGAGTAAAATTGATATTTTATACTTATCCTGACTCATGCTCTTTTTGCTTGTCTTCTTCTTCTTGCGAACATAGTGGAACACTTGTATCTCCCTAATTGAAGCTCCCTTCAATTTAAAATCACTAATTAGTATTCACCACGAGTTACCTCCTTTCCACAAGCTCGGGAACGAGGGCGCCACCTCTACCCATGTGCCTCACTCTCTCCTCATATACTGAGCCCAACATTTGAATTTACAGGGAAATCCAAAGTGTTATTTGGGGAGGATGGGAGGGCTGACCTCATGAGTCAGGATAAGTATAAAATATCAATTTTACTCCAAAAATGACATATTTTTCCTTATCCTGACTCATGCTCTTTTTGCTTGTAGCATCCTACCTTGAACGGAGGTGGGAATATCTAATACTTTGGATTTTTAATAATTAGTGATTTGAACTGTGATGATTGTAATAACCCTATGGGAACTTCATAAAGGCACTGAACTGATGAATTCCTGCTGCTAACTTATCAGCTGCCATATAAAAGGTTATTACCATGTACTTATTATGATAAAGTATATATAACATTAATACAATGCTTAAGACTAATAGACTTAAGCTTGTTAATATGCTAGTATAAACTCCTTAGAGTTTGTTAGCTAAAATACTTTAAGATATAACATAGTACTAAGCTTAAGATATGATTAAACTTAAGCTAATTATATAATAGCAAACTCTTTAGAGTTTGTTAGTTAATATACTTATATGATATAGATATAATGCTGAGCTTAAGATATGAATAAGCTTTAGCTACATATATAATAGCAAAAAACTCTGTAGAGTTTGTTAGCTAATATATTTTATAATATGAGTATAGTACTGTGCTTAAGCTATAATTAACTTAAGCTACATATATAATAGCCAAACTCTGTAGAGTTTGTTAGCTAATATATTTTTATAATATGAGTATAGTACTGTGCTTAAGCTATAATTAACTTAAGCTACATATATAATAGCCAAACTCTGTAGAGTTTGTTAGCTAATATATATTTATAATATTAGTATAGTACTGAGCTTAAGATATAATTAACTTAAGCTACATATATATAAATGCAAAACTCTGTAGGGTTTTGTTAGCTAATATATTTTACAATATGAGTATAGTAGTGTGCTTAAGATATAATTAACTTAAGCTACATATATAATAGCAAAACTCCGTGAGAGTTTGTTAGCTAATATATTTTTACAATATGAGTATAGTAGTGTGCTTAAGATATAATGAACTTAAGCTACATATATAATAGCAAAACTCCGTAGAGTTTGTTAGCTAATATATTTTACAATATGAGTATAGTATTGTGCTTAAGATATTATTAACTTAAGCTACATATATAATAGCCAAAAAACTCTGTAGAGTTTATTAGCTAATATGTTTATAGTGTAACCATAGTACTAAGCTTAAGATAAGATTAGACTTAAGCTAAATGTATATAGCAAAATAAACTCCTTAGAGTTTATTAACTAATATACTTTTTATGTTAAAAACATAGTACTGAGCTTAAGTTATGATGAAACTTAAGCTATATATATATAATAACAAAACTCCGTCGGGTTTTGTTAGCTAATACCTTTATAATGTAAATATACTGCTTAAGATATGATGAAAACTTAAGCTAATTGTATAATAGCGAAAACAACCCTTTAGAGTTTGTTAGCTATGATATAAACCTAGTATTGAGCTTATGAAGGAAAACTTAAGCTACATATATATAATAGCAAGAACTCCGTGAGAGTTTGTTAGCTAATACATGTTATAATGTAACCATAAAGCTTAAAATATGATGAAACTTAAGCGCGAAATATATAATAGCAAAACCCTCTTTTAGAGTTTTGATAGCTAATATACCTATATGATATAAACATAGTACTTGCTTTAAGATATGAATAAGCTTAAGTTACATATATAATAGCTAAAACTCTGTAGAGTTTGTTAGCTAATACATGTTATAATATAACCATATTGCTTAGAAATATGATGATACTTAAGCCAAATAGCAAAAAACTCTTTAGAGTTTGTTAGCTAATCTACTTATATGATATAAACATAGTACTAAGCTTAAGATATGAAACAGCTTAAGCTACCTATATAATAGCCAAACTCCTTAGAGTTTGTTAGCCAATATATTTTAATAATATGAATATAGTACTATGCTTAAGTATAATTAGCTTAAGTTACCTATATAATAGTAAAACTCCGTAGAGTTTGTTAGCTTAATTAACTTAAGCTATGTATAAAATAGCCAAAAACTCTGTAGAGTTTGTTAGCTAATGCATTTATCATGTAACCATAGTATTACTCTTAAGATATGAATAACTTAAGGTAAATATATATAATAACAAACTCTGTAGAGTTGTTAACTTATATATTGTATGATGTAATAATCATAGTACTGTGATGATAAAAGGAACTTAAGTAAATTATATATAGCATGAAGCTATTTAGTATTGTTATAAGATAAGTAAAAATCTGTTAGATTGACTTATCTTCTCCGAGGAACTGTCAGCTGTTGTCAGCGAGGACCATGGGATCGAATTGGTGTATACCTGAGGCGTCCTCGGTGGTGATATCTCTCAGATAATGGTTTGCAACCACCATATCGGATTTCAGAAATAAACCCTCCATTATTTCAATCACATTTGTGTAGAACAATTGTAGAAGTTAGCTATAATATCATGAGTATTAAAGCTCATGGAGGGTCGGAATAGGTCCATCCGCATATGCAATTAGTATGACAGTTCTGATCCAAATGGAGATATAGTACATGAGACTTCACTCTGCGTAAGTTGATGATAGAGGAAATAATCTGTTGCATTTTTCCTCCTGTTTGGTTTGGTGGAGATAAATTTACAGTGCTCTTGCTGGCCATCTTGATAGAATCGTCATCGTATCATGGGGTCCAAGTATGTCATCCAGGCGTGTTCATAAACCTCACTTGTGAGGTGTTGGAGCACTATATTCATATCCCCAGGTTGGTGTGAAATTTCCGTTTTATTCTCCAAACAGAAGTTTAGTAGGTTTACTAACCATCTAGTTGTGTTAGTAAACGATGAAATTCAGCTGTAGTCTGAAACGCTGTGGATTTAGATCCACTTGTATCTTCGTCTAGGTAATTCGCTGCGAAGTCCTTGACGATGTAGGTGCACAACCAGGTGTGTCTGTCCTCGTTGAACTTTATGTAAAATCGCCTGACTGCCGATCCTCGTGCCTTAACTTGACAGGGAGGTCTCTAACTGAAGAAAGGCAGTCTAATCATGAATGTTCAGGTTAACTGGACTGTAATGAGGCTTGCTCGTTCACTGATATATAGTTGTCACTTGTGACGTAAGTCTTGAACTGTGAATAGAGATCGACCTCTGTGTAGGTCGTTGTCCCTCGCCAGTCCAATCAGAACAAGGCATTTTGATTCTGTATAATACCCGCTGTGATGTCACCGGTGTAGCGGGAAAAACCCACCTTGAATAAATTCTTGTTGTCGCCGTTGATATTAGCATAAACGTCGGTCTTCACCGTAGCTTCCCGGTTATCCGAGTGACCACGTGTTTGAGGGTTAATGGTAACCGCCAGCGAAACCTCCGCGTGAAATATCTCGCTCTGTAATTTTATGCTGGGTAGGTTATTTTCCTGGTTGTCGTGAAAGTAATTTCAGTTTTGAATATAATTCCGACTTCCTTATATATAAGGGTATAAACAACTTGCAAGTTGTGAGCTTGTAGACTGTATACATGAATGTATCGTCATAATTGTAGAATTAACGTTGAACTTGTTGTACATATTTCTTCTCAGAAACTTTGACGATTAAGAGTTATACTTTCGCTGTAACAAGGCTGCTGTTCAATTTCGATATTGAATTGTCTGCAGATATGCGTAATGATCACGCATGTAGATAATCGTATCGTCGTCCGGGATTGTATATTAGCAATTTATACGGAATAGTTAATTTCTGTGAAGATCTATGAAATGTCGTTGACTAATAATACAGCGGCGTTCTGTGTTGTAAATAGCCTGAGCAATTATCTTCGGCGTGAGGCTTATAGGCGGCATCTGGCATACAGTTGATAATCAACTTATGCGGCGTCTTGAAACGGACTGACGAGTAGCTATATATGGCGAGTGGCTAGTATATGGAAACCTTGGAGGAGACTTCCTCGGTGACGCCGGAGACTTCGCGAAGTTCTCGAAGTATCCCTTCTAGATCTTCTGGGTGAAGTAGACTTGGAGCCACTTAGCCTTCGCGACCATCGCGAAGGTGTCGAATCAAAGCCCGATTAGTATATATATATATATATAAATATATATATGAGCTTGCTTCGTGAACAGCCTCTGTGTTTAACAGGATGTGGGATCGGCGAAGAGCTTGCCTAAGTAGGGCCGCATGGATCATCTTATCATATTCAGAAGTCGTATTACACGAAGTCTGGTGATAAGTGTCTAATTGATCGTTCTAGATCTATTTAGGCCAGCGAACATAATACTGTCGTCATGGATTCATCAGAACCAATATACGATTGTAGTTCTTATACTTGATATCGATGATCAACTTGTCTATGGGTTGATCTTCTCGAGACTTGTGAGGGGAACGTTGATAGTTTCATGGCTCTTGTATAGTCCCTCGATGTCCTTCTAGATGATGATGATCTGGATTCAGGTGTCGCCGGCGCATGCCTTCGCTAAGCTTCCTCTAAATCGTCGGTCGAGGGAACGACGATATGACCTTCGCGAAGGCTTCCGTGATGTCTGATGGTCCGAGTCCACATCTAGGGATGAAACCGCGATAAGGTGATGATCTATCCTGCCTTCGCGAAGTCCTTCGCCGGAAGGCTGTATCTAGGTTCTTTCCCGCCTTCGCCGAAGGCTGTACATCTAGGTCCTTTCGCCGCTCGCCGAAGGCTGTACATCTAGGTCCTTCGTCAAGGTGGTCCGTGACTTCCTTCCGAAGGTGACATCGTCCCTGGCTGCTACGTTGACGGGGGTGCCTCTGGGGTGCTGTCTACGTTGGAGCCTTCGAAACTTCGGACCCTGCTACCGCGAGATATTGGTCCTCCATGATGTTCATAATTTATTGCATCATGTCTTCTGGATGGTCTGCGGCGAGGTCGTCGGTGCTTTATCTGCGGTGTTAATGGAGGGTCCACGGAAAATCGTCCGACATCAGTGTAGAGGCATCAGGCTGCATGGTGATCTCTGCTGATGTGCGTTGTAGCTGTCACCGGTCGTTTCTTGTGTGCGTCGTCGGGGATGATGATCAGCTGATCATCGTAGAGGTCCAGGTCATCGGCTGGAACAATCTCGGTTGAGAAAGTCCTAGTAGACTTCGTTGATTTTCCCTCAGAGGTCGACGCTGCCCTGGGTGTGCGACGTCTGCGTTGAGTGTTGGTAATGATGGGACCCTCAGGACGATCATCGCGATATCTGCGTTGGTACATCAGGCTGCATGCTGATCTGTGCCGACATCGGTCAATCTTTGATGTACATCCGTATGATGACCGGCTGATCATCATACAGGCCCAAAACTTCGATGGGAACGGTCTCGGTTGTTGAGATGTAGTAGAAAAACCCTCTAGTCTTCTGCTGCGGCGATGGGATGTCTGGGAAGCAGGATGCTTCTTGGAGATGGCGGACTCGTCCCACACTCTCCACCACTCTAACGAACACCACACGGAGGGGAGTCGGCCAACAGCAGTAGACTGGCGAGGGGTTCCGGTGTATCAGTCATACTAGACTCTGCATCGCGACCTATCTGCTGTCGCGTGCAAACGCCAAAGTAAATATTAATAAAAGGTAGAATTGGATAAATTAGTACCGCAACTGCAATGTGAATATAATAAACATGGCCGTACATCATATTAAAGGCGGATCAGCAGCAGCATAAAACGCGTAATCTGCAATAGTACAGAATTTTCATCAACGTAATCCACTGAAACAAACACAAGTCCCGTGACTAAACTGTGGAAAAAACGACTAAATATCAATATATAATCGTTGAAGGATACTAGCTAAACCTCTATAGATGTCTATACGAGGTAACTAACTAAATATAATTCAAAGGATATAGTGTGTCGGGAGACACAGGCGCTCTCACGTCCAGCTCACTGGGCGAAGAAGGAGAGAGTGAGGCACATGGGTAGAGGTGGCGCCCTCGTTCCCGCGCTTGTGGAAAGGAGGTAACTCGTGGTGAATACTAATTAGTGATTTTAAATTGAAGGGAGCTTCAATTAGGGAGATACAAGTGTTCCACTATGTTCGCAAGAAGAAGAAGACAAGCAAAAAGAGCATGAGTCAGGATAAGGAAAAATATAATAGTTGAAAGTATTTCTAAAAAATCATATTCCCAAGGGTTCCCAATACATTCAATGATCCCCATGACAAACACAATAATACGCTATGGATTTATGTAATATCTTAAACATGTTATAGACATATAAAATTGGACTGCTGGAGCCTATCTAATAAGGAGTATGTAAAACTACAGTTTAAACGGGGGAACCGAGTTCCCTGAACAACACTGACCATTGTGACATCATCAGCTGTGAAGTCGATGCCAAGTTCCGCTAACTTGGAGAAACATTTCTTCTGCTTGTGAAGCATTTTTTTTGAAAGAGTCAACTGTTTAGCCTTGGACTTGACAGCGTTGTGGCGCTGTATGGCATTCACATGACTCTTTGGGCTCTTGAACTTCCGATTACTTCCCTTGAAGAGATCCTCATGAACCTTCTCCTTTGGCCAGAAAGCACCTAAAACAAGAAGACAAAGTCATCAATATCCCTCGCAATGGCAAAATACTCTTCATGATTATGTCTACGAGTTATGATTATGTCAAATATTTAGGTGTGTATATAGAAAAGTGGAAGGAGAGTATTGAAAGGTTTTTAAAGTTCTGCTCCAGAAAGGAGCACTATGACCAATTTCAGTCTATGTCAAACTTGTTGCCATGGAAATGACAAAAATATTTTATTCAGAATTCCAAAACTACCAAAAAGGAACCAGTACACCACTAGACCAATTTATGTGTCAAGTTTAGTGAAGAAACATTGAACGGTTTTAGAGTTCTGCTCCGGAAAAGAGCACTACCACCAATTTCAGGCTAAGTCAAACTTGTTGCAATGGAAACGCCAAAAATATTTTATTCAGAATTCCAAAACTACCAAAAGGCACCAGTACACCACCAGATCTATCTATGTGCCAAGTTTGGTGAAGAAATATTGAACAGTTTTAGAGTTCTGCTCCCGGAAAAGACAAATGTGCACGGACGGACGGAGTCCATTTTAATACCCCCCGCAAAATGCGTTGCGGGGGATAACAATCACTCGTTTCATACAGCTTTAGACCAGTCGACTGCACAAAATCAAGTCTGAACTAGACTATCGTGTGATTGATATTATGAACAACAAAGCATGCTGTCAGGCATGCAAATGACCTGCATTTTTGTGTATAAGTTGTAACCCTGAGCCGCACAGGCAACAACAATAAGCAAGATGGTGGCTTTTTCAGAACGTTAACTGAATGTCTTCTGCATTATACTTGTCCTGATCAGCAGTTGGTCAAAATCTGAACATGTGAAACCCAGCTGTGAAATACACTAACAACAGAAATCACTAGTCCACCACACCCTTGACACAATTAATCAGACTCAGAATTTGTATGTTAAGGTAAGGTGAGGTGAAGTGAGGTGAAATTGGTTTTTAACGTCGTGCTTGGGAATATTTCGCTCTTATGATGACGTGCACGCGTGTGTATGTGTGTATGTGCGGCTGCTTGTACTAGCCCAGACTTCAGTTGGTATTATAGTGCTAGCCCACTGAGATACCATGCCGCAGTGAAACATGAGTACCCCACTCAGACACATTATACTGACTCCGAGCCGAACAGTCCTTGCTGTACCCATTAATGCCGAACGCCAGGCAGGGACCAACAAGCACCATATTTAACCGTCTTTTGGTATGACGCGGTCGGGGATCAAACCCGCGACCTTCCGGTCTCTCCGGGCGGATGCTCTAACCACTACACCACAGAGGCGGTTTTGAATGTTAAGGAAGGAATAAGTTGCAGAAACGGTAGATGAAGATTTTATGCACTAAAAGAGCCACTGGATGTCATTTAAGACACTGGGTGAGTGAATGCTGTTTATACTAAAACGACAATATTACAGATACGTCAATCATGCTAGCAGCCTGCAAACACTGAGAGAATACCCGTGAAAACCCGGGTTAGAATTTATCTTCAGTAACCTATGCTTGTCATAAGAGACGACTAACGGGATTGGGTGGTCAGGCTCACTGACTTGCTTGACACACGTCATTGTATCCCAATTGCGTAGATCAATGTTCATGCTGTTGACCACTGTATCATCTAGCGGAGACTCGATTATTTACAGACCGCCACCATATAGCTGGTATATTGCTGAGTGTGGTGTATAAATTAAACTCACTCACTCCAAACACTGAGGATCAGCAGCATGAGCACAAAACCTTACAATGATATCGATATTATGGGATATACGTACATTTCAGAAGCTTCTCAAACATGAGATAGTTGTTCATTGTGTCGGCAACAATCTTGGCCACCTCTTCAGAAGCAAACTCTACGAAGGCATAACCCTTGGAATTGCCAGTCTGAAACAGAAGTGAAGGAGTAATGTCTGACAACACTTAAACAACATTCCAATAAATATCACTGGGTTTTGTGTCTGGAAGAACTGGAAATATGGTCTCCAACCATGCTCTTCTCCAAACATACCATTACAGCACTAACATGTCATCGCATCTTCATTGATGTGTTTCATTTATACATTCCTATGAAGTAAGAACAAGATCATCCTGGCTAATCTCCAGAGTATACGTTACGATCAATCTCCACTATACCCTGGATGCATCCACGGCTTGGCCCGATAATTTTATTACCTCCCTTGGCTGGCTTTTTATCCAATCAGGTGTCTACACTGGGAAGTTGAGCATACCAATCACAACTCACTTTTGCTTCTTAAATTATCTAACCGTTTAAACTTGGTAACACAAGTGATGTAGAGGTACTCTGAAAGAGGTAGAAGGAATTCTTCCATATATTTATTTAAAGTTTCAGATCTGTCAATTTGTCAGTATTATTTCCCCCAAAATCTGAGTGGCACTGTGAACAAACCTTCGCGACTGCTACCGCTATCATTCCTGACATTGGCAAGCTCGGTTGTAACGGCTTCTTAGCTGATTGGCTACTGTGAGAATGCGGAGCCAGCCAAGGGAGGTTATAAAATTATCGGGCCAAGCCGTGGATGCATCCATGGTATAGTGGAGATTGATCGTAACGTATACCCTGGAGATTATCGAGGATGGAACAAGATTTTTATTTACATTTTAATTAACGTGTTTATAAATAGTGTCATAGTTAATTCATTAGTTTGGAGGTTTCTCAGAAGATGATGTTGACAATGATGTAGCATAAACATGAAATGATGTAATCACTTGGATTTCAGTCATTTTCATTCACCTTTTAAAGTGTCCTCCACCATATCATCAACAGCTGAAGTCATGCCAGGATTTATGTGAACTCCACTTAAACCCTTCTCATAATAGGCCAATATAACAGCTAGTAGTGTTTCAGGTACCATGCCCTCCGGGGATGCTTGGTGGGGATGAGATTTCTTGACAGTTACCGAATTGTGATAAAGATTTCTTGGGGGAAAGAGAAATACTAACTGTTACCAAAAAGAAAATCTAAGTAGTTGATTTTGAACTTACATTTTTACTCCTTGCCAGACGAAGTCGTGTCACCCTACCGAACTGTGAAAAGAAGGATTTCATCTGTGGCTCGAAGAATCCATGTGGAATATGTCCAATGTAGATAACTCCTGGCTGATTGACATTCGACGCTCCCTGAACACACATCAAACACTAGGTGAGCACTTGGTTAAAAAATATCCTGTCATTGAGTTGACAGCTTGGAGAAATACTGAATATAATGCTGAACAAGCATGTTTCTCCAATGAACTTCACAAAATACTTGATCTTATTTTGAGTTAGTGAGTTTAGTTTTGATGCCGCACTCAGCAATATTCCAGCTATATGGCGGTGGTCTGTAAATAATCGAGTCTAGACCAGACAATCCAGTGATCAACAGCATGAGCATCGATCTGCGTAAACCCAATCCCGTTAGTCGCCTCTTACGACAAGCATGGGTTACTGAAGAATCATTCTAACCCGGATCTTCACAGGTAAGATCTTATTTTGAAGTTTATGTGGTAGTTATTTCAAAACTTTCCCCAACATAATACGTATTTCAGATAACTATTTCAGCAGTCTCAACTTCAACATTGCTGAATTTACATCTGTTACTTGTCACGGTCCATAGCTGCAAAATGGCTATTCACAGTGGCAATGCCCTTTACAATTTGTATGAACCCTGAGGACAATCCTGATCCATAGTTATGTTCAAAATAAACAGATATTTGTCTGGTGTAAATGAGTTTACTGGCAAAACCAGTGCCAATTGTATGTCCGATAATCCTGCAGACAACATGATAGACGCATGATTGTGTGACCCTGAGAGTGGTGAGTGTGTGTTCTATATAACCAGGCTGTTTAGAATTGAAAACTTAATATAAATTTGATAAACATTTAAGGAAAATCTGAAGTCAAGTTAAGAAAGACCAGTGTACTTTTTACACTGACCAGAGCAACCAAATTCATTATTCACCTGACGAAGGGGCAAGGAAAAGCCAAGAAACTTTATGTATAGAATAAACAAGAAGTTGACATACATAATATTTTGTCTTATACAAATTCATATTGATTCATTTCTCTTGCAGATAACAAATAAAATAAGGGAAATGAGTGGACTGATTGAATCGGGTGACTCATACATCATTTAGGAAATAAATGGTCAGTTTAGGATGCTTCGCCAGTTTACTGACTTGGTTAATTAGAGACATCATTACCCAACACTCTACCTCGAACCACAAACCAAATCAAAGTTAATGAGTACTCGTTTAATGGGTCATTAGCACTTCAGTAACGCACGAGTGATGTCACAACATTCCCGTTCATCTTTTTCAGGCCATTGTGTCTGGGACATCTTGGTGGAACAAAACATGTTTCAAATTGGATACATTTGGATTGACTGACTAAGGTAAGGTCTAAAACTAAGGATCGTAAATGGGTGTTTGCCTCTAAACCAGTTTGCCACTAGAGAGCACTAGACCATGATTTAAGCAGTGATATAGCGAGACAGTTTGCTGGGACACCTGGTAAAGTGCATTCTACCCATATCAAGTTATCAGGGAGCCACTTATACCATAGGATATGTTCGCCACCATAACCCTAGAATACATGGGTTTGAGTATTAAAGGAAAGGATTATTGGTAAAAATGGTAAAATAGTAACAAAATAAGATGGCGAACGTATATTATGAAACTCACCAATGTGAGTTCGAGACTCACTGTTTTCAGTTCATCAATTCAAGTATATATATAAACATCACCACACATCAGTATCGTTGAATTAAGTTTTCGACGGCGTGCTTACTCTCCCTATAACAAGGCAGGTTGTATCACACAAACATTGTAAATACTCGGATGATGGCTTGTGTATGAGATAGCATCTCCTTAATAAGATAATGACATGATTTCCAATTTTTCATGTGATAGTAATCGAAAAAATACAATGACCAGGTTGGCCTATAATAGGCCTATAAGTTATGATATTTATCAAATAAATTTTAAGTGGTGCATGCCTATAATAGGCCTATAAGTTATGATATTTTCATCAAATAGATTTTTAATTAAATATAAGCGGTGCATGTCCGCATGAGGATATTAACATCATTCAAGTTTTGATGTCCAAAGGTTTTCATTCAAACCCTTTTTGAGAATTTTCATCACATAATAAAGGAGTTTGGAAATTGTTAATTAAATATAAGTCTATAATATTTTTTGACGATTTCCATTGCAAATTAATGACATAGATATTCAGTGTTAGTTTTCAAAAGGAAAATCTATGCAAAATTGAGTTCTTAATGAAACATCTTTTCCTGAACATGATATAAATTTCCATTTTGGACAAAAACTTATTTTTTTCAAGCTGAGGAGGTCCATTAACTATTCATCTCTATGATCATATAAAAACCATTTCGTGCGGAAATTGATAGTTTGTGAAATAATTAGAAAAATGTTCAAATATAGCCCGATCGGCCTATAGCAAAGTAGGCAGAACGGCCTATAATATCTTGTTCGGCCTATTATACGCTGATCGGTAGGTTTCCCCAACCTGATGACTGTTGTTTGGCGTCCTAAAACCAATCATGTCAAACTAGTAAGCCCTAGCATACCACAAGGATGTCTAACCCAGAATAATATTCTATTTTTACCCTGTTCTTGATTTCCAATACAGTCTTTTCGAAGGCTTCCTGCTGTTCTGGTTCTAAGGCCACGTTGTTTGGGAGTTTCACAGAACCACGCTTCTTACTGGGGGACGCCATGTTGGTTATGTCACGTGGTTAACCATTCGGAGAATATCGAGATCTCCCGACAAAGTTAGATACGCCTTACATCTAACGCCGAGTCAAGAAGAAGCTTAAGAGTTACTCCGATTGACAAAAGGGGTTCATACAAAATGCGGACTCGTTACTTTTTATATATATATAGCCACATTTCTTGCCTTTTCAAAATAAGAACTGGCTCCTAATGTGATACATTAGAAACACATTAATAGTTAATACATTAATAGTTCTCTGTAATATATTTAAACGTATGAACAAAATATTTTCATATCGATCCTACTTTTATAACCACATTACCAGGCAACCAGATAACAAAATGGCGAAAGTTGTGATAGCAGGTGGGTAAGGTTGTCAATATAATGGTGAATTTTAGGATGCGAATGTAGCTTTCATAGCAAATTGTATTTGTATAAGCTTTTCATTTAATTTTCGCAATGCTCAGCGTGTGTTATACAAAAATACACATATTACCATGGTAAAAATGTGTTTTTAATGTGAGACCGAATGTTCTGATGCTTTTCAAGATTTGTTTTGTTTTCGTTGTTATATTTTGGTCGTTGCTAAATACATCGGTGACAATATGCTTTGCCAGTTCATCAATATACATACGTTTGTTAATTTTATATCCTTTGGCACTTGTACTGTTAATTGCCATGTGACAAATGTCAGAGACCATATTCTATTAACACACCAGTTACAGGTCAGTGTTTGGAAATCCATACTGTTATGCTGTCAAAATGGCAAATCAAATTAGTGTTAGAAGCATTTGATTCACGAATGAAAATGATACAAATTCAGCTTGAGGTGCATCATAACTCCAGTTGATAATGTAGACATACATATTTTCAAGGAAGGGCAGACTGCCCCTACTTTGCACGAGTGGAGCTCATTGGCGACAGGCTGTCAAAGAATTTACCAGATTTCAAGCTGCACAAGATAGTTAAAACTGATGATGAGTGGGAGGTGAGATAACTATGCTTCTTTTGTTTTTAATAATAATAATGTTATTATGCTGATATATTAGAGTTGTTATTTGCCGTTATTTCTCTGTAAGCTATCATTCTTCATTTTAATATCTTTTATGTGCTAGTATATATATCATGATGTATGGCTCAGTGAGTGAACAGTTATCACCTTTGACATTTTATTCTGACAGTTCTGTAAGGAAAGCATGCAAAATAGTACCACAGACATTTAGGATAAATTGCTGCAAATGGCCATGGAACAGGATCTGGTATAATATGTTATGATGAAATGCACATTTTGACGGTAAGAGTTCCGCCAGTAACCCCCTCTTGAAATGTATTCTATTTATTATGATTATTTCTAGAGGTTAGTGTTCAGGTTTAGGGATCAGATTTAGCATTTGTTAGGTTTAGGGTCAGATTTAGGGTGAGGGTAGGCTTTCTGTAAAAAAAATCTATTCTTAGGCATAGAATGATAAAAAAACCAGGGGTTACGGGGGCAGAAATCTTTCCCATTTTGACTCTGATTCCTTAAACAGTCTCAACAATGAAATGCAACAACAAAAGCATTTTGAATAATTTTTTAAAGAAAAGTTTCATAAATAGATCCAGATGATTTAAGGCATTTTGGATCATACCAGTGACTAGGGAAAGGATATGTCTTGGATATTTTATGTTGTGTTTTCGGTTTGTTTTTGAAACAGGAACCCCTTCAATTCTGAGGCCAATGTGCATTTTGTGTTATCTTCAAATTACCTTTTTTGAGTGAATATGCCTGGGGTGTCAGATATTATTATTGAAGTGTGAAAAAGTTAAAGTTTAAGTTTTATCTCATGAAATAGTTTTACATTAACTATAATAGCGCATATAGTGTTTTTAAATACGTTGGATGTTACGTTACAGAAATGGCTTGATGAGACTTGCAATGTACGAGGTTGGAGTCATAAGAAGTCACCACTCATCTGGCGTGAGTTGATTGATAGGGGGGGCAAAGGAGTCCTTATTGGGGGAGCCAATGAATTCCAGGAGTATGTGACAGGCTACTATGGTGTCCTGTCTGAAATGACCAGTGATGACATGACCAAAGTTGCTGAAGAGAACAAGGTGACGAAGACAGAAGTTGATGCGGAGATAGAAGCGCACCGTGCACTGAGTCAGCCTCTTGCAGTGTGCATCACCAACGCCAGTAGTCCAGTCTGCTACAGCCTCATCAACCTAATTGCCAGTGGGGAGGTTTTTGGAGAGTCAACAGAGGTTGCGATCAGACTCCATGATTCTGAAGAGAAGAGGGAATACCTATCAGGGTTGAAATGGAGGCCTATGATCTGGCACATGGTCTCCTGCGAGATGTGAAGGTTGTGTCTGATGTGCGTGAAGCTTTCACAGACAGCAGTATCATCCTGCTGTTGGATGAGCTGGAGATTCAGGAGGAAGAGCCCAGAGAGAAATGGCTGAAACGAAATGCAGAGCACTTCACTAACTATGCTTCTGTCATAAATGATGTTGCAGCTAAAAATGCCAAAGTGTTACTGGCCGGAAATGGACCGCTTAATTTCAATGCTTGTATGATGTTGAAAAATGCACCAAACATTCCTCGTCAGAACATTGTAGCTCTGTCACGAATGGTAGAAAACTGTGCTAAGTCTGTTGTTGGAGATCGATTGAGTGTGAACCCAGCAGGTGTGGTAGACTTGATCGTGTGGGGAAACATCAACAGTAAACACTTCATTGATGTCACCAAGGCACGTGTCCATGGTTACGACGGGGCAATATGGGGGCCACCATCTTACTCTGTGTCGGCACAGGAGATGATCCACAATGATAAGTGGATAGAAAAGGAGTATGTGGAGCTGGTGGAAGCACGCAGAAGTGTGGTGGAGGCAGCTTTAGGTCACCCTGCCTCCATGGCACAAGCCAACGCAGTGGCCACCACACTCAAGCATTGGACGAATGGCACGCCGACAGGGCAGATGTTCTCCCTTGGTGTCTGTTCTGAAGGTAATATTTCTTTCATTTCATATACTTTTTAAACAATACATCTGGGTTTATTTTTACTGATCATCTGAATATCCACATGCATCTAAAGCATGTTCTCTTTGTGCTAGGGAAGATCTACATATTATGCTGAGCAGTTTGCTGTAGAAGTTATAATTGTGATTATCAAACCATCTCTCACCTCCCAGGTTGGTATGGGATCCCAGAAGGTTTAGTCTTCTCCTACCCAGTGACGATGCACCCGAAAGGTTACTTCACAGTTGTACAAGACATTGACCTGTCTGAGGACACCAAGAACAAGCTTCAAGATGTTGTGCAGGTAGTATTTCCATCATCTCCATCTTCGTCTCCACTTCAAGTTATTAACAAAGTACACATCAGATGACCATCAATGTGTTGCTGCATTGTATATGGTACATGGAAATGTGTTCACGATTGGGAAGCAGCCCAGCTGTGACAAGACTGACTGTGTGCCTTTGTTTCCTTCAGACAATTTGATGCACTCACAATCCAACTGAGTAAAATCATATCTTAGTTCTTGACAACCTCTATATATAGATATGAGGACATCCCATTATGTGTAACATCATAACGACCTATCATCCAACCTATCTGCATGATCAGTGCATCGTTTACCAGATCAGGAACGGGAAAGTTGGAACATGTTTTTTTACCATCCAGCCTCGGAAAGGTTAACACTGTGTAGTCCGATTGACAGTTACGGGCAGTATGATGTATTCAGACAAGATCATCGTCTGTTTCATGTTTCTGTGGAATACACATTTGAATGGTACAGATTTACTGCCATATAATGTATGCCATCTCTAAGGCAATTTTCAAATTTGAAATCAAGGATTTTAAAAAAATGTTTTTCAAAGCATAATCTCAAATCGATATCAGTGCCGTACTGCTCAAGATACCTGCTTTCTCGTTGCCTAATGTTGACTGTTTAAAGTTCTCAAAAGGTAATTGTCACACGACCAGTAATGAGATGTTCTTAGACCTTTGATTTTCAGTAGTGAGAACTAAGGTCATATTTTACTGAGATTGCACACAAACAGGCTAACCATGATGTGATGATCGCTCACTAGTGACAGTCTAACACATTGATGAAATTGTTAGAGTGGACACTGTATTGGACTATCTAAGTTATCTCAGGAAATCCAAAAGGCAAATATGTCAAATTTCAACAAAAGTAAATATTTCCCATTCTTTTTTATCTAATACAGTCGATGTTGTAGAACATATTGATGAGGCACATGTCTGTCAGATTATTCATGTATTCATGGTAATCAGAGCAAGCTTTCTTTAAAATACTTTGCTTTTAATCTTGGCATTTAGTCAACTACAATTGATGGTAATGTGGGTGAGCAATGGGGTAAGCTCCAAGTAATCACATACTAGGGCTGGGACGGTAGGAATAAGCTCCAAGTAATCGAATCGAAAGTACCTCGAAATGTAAGGAATACAGCCAAGCTTCTGTCAACTGTCTGAAAAATTCAATCAATGGGTTGACAGAGATTATTATAGAAACTTGAAAGAATGGCAATAAGACATTAAAACAGATCTTAGGCTATTTAATTTACGTCTATTTAACCAATATAAAGAGTATCAGCATTACTTACATTCCTCGTTACACTGGAAAAAAAGTCCACATTTACAAGCTTGGAAATGTCTTGGAAAGATGATGTTTCCAAGACATTTCCAAGCTTGGAAAGATGATGTTTCCAAGACATTTACAATTTTGGAAATATGAGATTTCCAAAAATTTACAATTTTGGAAATGTCCACAAGGGGAGATAACTGGTGGGTGATGGTAAATGATTGTTCTTTGCACGCCCAGGACCTAATCCCTTGTTAATTGATGAGTAAGTCAAGGCAGTTAAGAGTCACCAATTAACAAGGCCTACTGCCTTGTTAAATTAATGAGTGAGTGAAGTCAGTTTAGACAGCCTCTGGAAGGAAAACCAAGTTGCAAGTTTTTATGCCTCTTAAAGAAGCCTCTGGAAGTAAGTTATATCTCTGATGGCCATTTAGAAGTGGAATGCATACAAAAGCAAGACTTATGGATGTCAACTTCCTTACTGTGACCTGATTTTCACCTGATGAAGGAGCAAGCATATGTCTCAAACATCGTCGTGTTATTCACAATAAAGAAGTTGACATCCATAAATCTTGCTTTTCTTATTAAAAAGGTAAGTTATTAAAATCCACTGAGCTGTAGGTTTGTTAATCATGTCTCGATGTGATTATCGCTCTAACACACCTGAGAGATTCGTTAACAGTGTTGTATGCACAGGCGGTGATAGTTGTATTGTATTGAATTTGGTTGGTTGCATAATGTTTTGTGTTATGCTGTCAGTTTGTATGTATGTGTGAATGAGGAACCTCACATGTTATGACATTGAAAACAGACTAAACTTAACATTATTCCATGGTCAATATCGCAATGTGAGTGAAATGGTAGTATACGGAAGTTTGTTTCACATTTTTGATAATACCTTCTTTTATGCAGATAAAATTATTAAAAAATGAAGGAATAATGCCATGCTTCTCTCAGAGTAAGGGAAGATAATTTATATAGTGATTCTTATCAAATTAGATATTTCTTTATCGTCCGAACAGAATTCACAAATTACAGATGTTTTGTGTGGGTTTGTGTGCATGCACTCGTATAACATCTAACTTGATAGGTATTAAAATCAAGCCGTTTGTAACCATGACTATATTGGTTGGAACACTTGAGGAACAAAAAATAATTTCTCGCCTCAAAAGGAACTGGAACAGTAACATTTTTCATGTTATCATATGAGCTTCAAAACATTGAATGAAATAAATGCTGTATGATGAAATGGATCAGAGAACATTATAATGGCATACATGACGTGTTAATGACACATGTAATGATAAAAATACATAATCACTTTGTTAGTTAACTCATGACCAGACACGTCAAACTGGTACCGATAGATTTATATCTAAAATGTAAAAATTCAGTATTTCTTAGTACCTGAAATAGAAAACACGAATTTGGATGAGATGTTTTAATCTGAGATCAATCTGTAGAACTTAAATCAACTTTAAAAGATTGGTCATTCGCAAACTGAAGCAGATCTCACTTATACTGCAGTAAAACAATATGGGGATACATAATCTAAACATACCACTTACGCGATAACAACTCCCTGTTTATTGCATAGAACGGCATTCCGATGTACATCGTTCAGAATAAACAAGCTGACTGAATGTTGATTGATTCCATCACTTGGATAATGGAGTGGATTTCGACTTGTTGATCTTACTCTCCTGTTGACCCCAACAACGTGCTACTTGCTGAAGTACCTGTTGTTGTTAATTTGCTGCTTGTCACTATGCATATATACTTCTATTCACCTGGTTGTAGTTACTTTTATCCAGATAATGGCGAGAGAATATACATGGAAACTCCCTCTCTAACCTTTGGTCCAAACGGATGAGTTAAGAAAAAGGTCGATGCCCCCGTCCTTTAGCCATTTCACATTGGATTATAGAGACAATGATGGGCCTACGTGTTGATAGAAGAGGATATTCCGGATTATGCGAATGAGAGCACACCTAATGAGAAAACGAGCCAAATATATGTATAAAGATAGTGTTTTATTTCACAGAACTTTTCGTTCCCGCCGCTCACGCGTAGATAAATTACAGTCGTTAATAATAACCTTAATTAATCGGACAATACCAATGATGTAATTGTGTGTTACGTCAATTATGAAAAAGACAATTTATGATCTGCCCTTGTCATTACAGAGTTCTCTCCCTTTCCGGGTACTCGATTCCTAGAAATAGGACTCGATTCCAGGTGTACCCGACCCGGATTCGAGTACCCGAGTACCCGTCCCAGCCCTATCACATACTTGTTCGACATCTGATCACTTTTTATAGCCTGCTACATTTAACATCAGGAAAGTGTAATACGTTTTGCAGTCTCTCATGTGAAAATCATTTAGTTGTATTTTTTTAGTATATTTGTCAGTTTTGAGGATAGAGTGATGGCGGGTTTGTTTGACAGGAGCTGACTCAGGAGTTGGAGGTGATGTTCCCTCCCCCATGTCCTGCACCCTCAGTGGAGGCAGCTGGACAGACTGAGGAGCCAGAAGAGGTCAAGCCAGAAGAGGTCAAGCCTGAAGGGGAAGATGGAGCTCAGCAGGATGGGCAGACGGAGGAGAAGGAACAAGAGTCTGTTCAGGAGGCGACTGTAGATGGTAAGAAATTACAGATCAATTTCCTGCAACATCAGTCTGGCTCTAGCAAGCTCTAGTGTTAATTTGCCTCTACAATCTGCCCTGATTGTTCCCCATTACCATGTGTTTGTCTTGTATGGAGGAAGACTTAAAAGAGGATTGGGTGGTCATGAGAGACGTGGCAGATTGTGTGACATGTGACTCAGCATACATCATGTTCATGTCCTGATATGAGAATGGATGGTTTACTGGCCATAAGACAACAGCTGTAATGTTACTGTTTACGTGGTATAACATTCACTTACTTCCACCCGGAATCTCAAAGGCAAAATATGTGCTGAACACATAGATACTTTTACCGTAATTGAAATGAGGAAATTGGTGCTTCCAGTGGATGTTATTTTTTGGTTATTATTAGGGCTGCGCAATATAACTGGTTTACCGGTATTTACCGGTTCAGACATGAAAACGATACATATTGCGATATGCTGATCGAAAACCGGTATTTTGACTTGCATTCAGAAAACTTCGTAACACTCGGAAATCTTCAGATATGTCCTTGTTTCATTTGTGCCAAATCTTATTCATATTTTTATTTTATCATGATTAAAAGTTTTTATTAAAGCTTAATCAAGCCTAGTGATTTTGTTGTGTTTTTGCTCTGTAAATCAAGAATTAACTCGATTATAAGTAGTTTTTTTGTTTAAAAATACTTCATGCAATATATTGCAATATATTGCAATACATATCGCAATACATGCTTTCCAATCGCAATATATCGCAATATGAAAATTCTCTGCAATACCCACCCCTAGTTATTATGAGCTCCAGGAGAGACCAGCTGGGAGCTTGTGCTTGTGTCATCAGAACCCAGACAGCCTTGCCTTATTTAATGCTTTATCATATTACAGACCACTGTGGCAATAACCCTACTCTATTGCATTGAGAACCCAAGACTCAGTAAAACCCCATTAAATTTATCTCACAAACAAATCCTGAAACAAAAATATCTGTACACTCCCTATAAAGTCTACAATTCTTTGTCGTCTTCAGCATATTCCTGATTTTATTGTATTCTCTGGGCTGCTTTCTGTAATATATTAAAAGATACTTTAACCATACAAATGTTGAAATATTTTTATTTTAGTAACAACTGATCACAAATAGATATAGCATAGTTGGGATTAGATAAGCATCTTTAGACTGGTTTGTGATAGTTTGTCATTCAAATATAAGAAAGCAAATGTCTTTGGTATTTAGTGACATGCTCTTTTCTGTTGCAGAGGGAGGAACTGAGAAGACACAGGATGGGGAGGATGTAAAACAGGAAACACAGCCAACAGAGGGGGAGGCAACATCATAAGGAACAGCCAACCATGCCAAAGAAAATAGCCATGAATTGCATGACCTGCCTTGTGTATGATCTGTCATGATTTTCAGTTGTTTAATCTTGCACATGTTCAGTTTACTTTGCAGTTTCATAGTCTTTCAAGAACTCTGTGATATTTATTGAGCGAGTGCCACCATTCCTTAAGTCAAAGTTCATAAAGGAACTCCAAGGCATTGGTCTCGATAGAAATCTACATCAATCTATTTCTTCAGATGTATTCCATTGGTTTCTGAATTATGTATATTTGTTTCAGTGTTTTGATCCTGTGAAGTACCATTTTTGTACAGTTTACATGAAAATACATTACTTTTTGTATTTGTACAGTGAACATAAAATTATATCATTAATATTAAAGTATCATATTTACTATGTGTATTGTTGTCATTTTCTTCAGTCCACACATTTAGACAGGCTATCAAACATGTAGAATTCATCTCTGAGCATCTATTGTCTTACTGTAACTAAAATATAGTTGCTTCCTCACATTTTTAGTTCTTTATATACTTGAGAGTAAAATGACATCTAGTGGTCAAAGTTTGTATAGTTGTGCCTTAACTGTACTGTAACCAAGTTTCAGAACTGTAACATGACATCAGTAGAATGTCACTGCATCTTAATGCTCAGAATTCAAGATTGAATTTTTGTTTTCTCACAGATGAGGCATATACTTCTTATATTGATCAAATTTGATAGAAAATTATGTACCGTTAACACAATGATTTCCCCGTTTGACTGGATTCTTGTCCGAATTTGGTGCACTTGTCAATAAGTGCTTGTAATGCGACTTCTAAGATGCTTCGATCAAAGGCAGTGACAGTACTTTATCGGGTGATAAAGTAAACTTTTTGCATTGTCACACTGAATTGACGTTACTATGCCATCCCAGTCTGCCCCCTCGTAATCTAATGTACCCTTGGTAACCGATGTCACGATGCATGTCATTTGTCATTGTCTAATACAGTCCCCTGCAGTACAACTTACTCGGTTATCATCCCACTTCATGGTTTGCAGTTGCTTCTGCAGCTACATCAGTGGTAGAAACATTACGTTTAACTTTTCCAGAAAAATGGCCCCAGCTTGACTCGATATTAAACAGCGACATGGTAGTATTTGCGAACTTGGCCTCTGTCCAATCCCATATTGCATCTCTGGAATGTCGACTAGATGATCTAAAGTTACATTGGAAGTAAGTATGTGACGTTCATATTGTCCCATGTGGTTTACGATAATCACAAATTTAACTGAAATAATAAATTGTTTTGAAACTTTTTATCACTTGCATTCTTGGTAACATGTGTCTTCATGTAGGGGGCAGACACATCAATTGAAGAGTATGTCAGTTAGCCCTGAATGAGGATTGTTACTTTAGGTCACCAACAACATCTGTTTCCTATTTGTTTTCTGCCTTAGATTAATCATAAGTGAATATTCAAATTGCCAAATTAGTTCAAGGCAAAACTACCCTTTTTTACACAATACATGGGTGTAGAGTGAACTAAATTTCTGTTTTCAAAAGGATTCAGTCATCAAGGTTTTAGAAATACCTATCTTACTTAGTGGCAGAGCCATCCAATAGGCTGACACGATACACCAAAATCTAGATCTTATGTGGATGAGAGCTGGACATGTTGAACAACATCCACTTAATAATTGACAAATAATGTCTTGGAGTTATAACACATGTACAATCACAATGATAAATTTATAGGATAAAATTTCCACAGCGTGACAATGTAATCAGTGACTATATTAACTGTAAAAAAACAAACAGAGACAGACTTCAGATGGACGTAAGTGCAGTGTTTGAAATAATAAAATGGCCATGAAGACCCACAGACTTTAGGAGCGGCAGGCTAATTGTGACAAACAAATCATCATGTACAAATTACTGTACCCATATATATCTGAGACTACAGACCCAACAAGATATACTTGCCATGGGCCAGACCAACAACCAGTCTATGAAATGAACATATTTTACAGAAAAAACAGCTCACAATACAAAATAATAAAACATAATGAAAAGGAGACCTGGGACTTTCTTCAGTTTCAGAAACTGTGGAAATCTAGACTTGCCACATATTCTAGACTTGCATGGGCTTTCTTGGATATACATGTATTTGTTTCAGGGTCTGTGTGACAGACTAGCCATGGGCCAACGGTCAAATATTGCTAAATGGGGTCGTTGCATTCAAAATTATGTATAGCAAGTCAGATATTATTCGGCAGGTATTATTCAGTTATAATACATCTTGTGTTCAGTTACAATACATCTTGTGTCTGCACAAAGAAGCATTCTTTTCATGATAATATTTTGTAATAATGAATATTCTACTAGCTTTTCCAAGACCTAACATCAGTCATTTGTTGGATGAATACTATTCATAATTAAATTAGATTCCCAGTAAACTATCTCTTCTTGACACAGTAAACACATTTGCAACATGATCTTCAGAAACAGCTGTTTGTGAAAACACAAGCTATTGAACAACTAGAGCTGCCAGTTTAAGTAACTGGATACTTGTCTGACAATGTTGGGCAAGTGTGGCTTTGTGCACAACAGCTGTCTGAAAGGTAAAAGTACAAGTACAAGAGATAGGTAGACTCACTTTCCAAATGGTGTCACTCTAATAATAATTTAAAGCTTTTGTGCCGAGTCCATTGCTGTTATTTCTCAGAAATAGACATGATGCTTAATACATGTATCTATTGAAAATATGTAATTTACAAAATCATTTCATTCAGAATTTTAGCTATCCCCAAAAATCTTGCATCAAGACATTAGTGAAAATCTCAGTGAAAAATTGTGTTGCATCTGTAGGCTAAAAACAAACTTTTCCGGAGAGATATATGCAGTATGTGAAGTGAAGGTATTGCAGCTACAGAGCTCCAGATAAGATTACTGTACCCACTGTATTATCTGGGCCTCTTTTCCAGCCCAGTTTTTACACAAAGCATCCACAATGAAACTGCTTCCTACTATGTGTGTAGATAATGTTCCTGTTAAGTTTGTTTCTGTGCGAACTTTGGCTGCCATGCACTTTCCAAAATGAATACTCTCCTTAAGTCAGGGACAAGAAAACATACATGACACATATAAAATCTGTTTGTAATTAAATCTTTCCCCTCAAGCAGTTCTCAGGAAGTAAATTAATGCTAATCAAAAACTTGCCTTCATAGTGGTGGGGGAATTCAGAACCATGATGGTTTCCCTAAATTCCACACCTGACATCCACACCTTATGTAACACAACACGCCCGACATCCACACCTTATGTAACACAACACGCCCGACATCCACACCTTATGTAACACAACACCCGACATCCACACCTTATGTAACACAACCTTATGTAACACAACCGCTGACATCCACACCTTATGTAACACAACACACACCCGACATCCACACCTTATCCACATCCTTTATGTAACACAACACACATCCACACCTTATGTAACACAACACACCCGACATCCACACCTTATGTAACACAACACACCCGACATCCACACCTTATGTAACACAACATCCACACCTTATGTAACACAACACACCCGACATCCACACCTTATGTAACACAACACGCCCGACATCCACACCTTATGTAACACAACACGTCCGACATCCACACCTTATGTAACACAACACGCCATCCACACCTATGTAACACAACACACCCTCATCTTTGGGTAAACAACAAACACTACTGATGCCAGTAAAAATTTATTCAGGCACTTGTTTTGTAAAAAGACAAACAGAAATTATTTCACATGACCCGTAGGACATCTGTGTTAGGATTAAACAGTAGCAAAACAAAACAGTAATTGCAGTCAGTAAAGTCGGTGTATATCTGAAGACTGTGACCAGCGCATGTATAAGATCACAACGATGTACACATTTCAAGTGAGCAGTATGCTTGCATGGGCCAGAGAAGACACCAAGGAACTGACATCTGAGACACAAGCTTTTGTCCTTATGTTCTTCTGAAATCTCAGGTCATTTTTAAAACTCTCACAACTGAAGTATTGAGACTTGAATATTTGTCAGTGATGACCTAACATCTTCCTTGATGTCCAGATGTATAAACATGTAGCAATAAATACAGTTATTGTAAAGAGCAGATAACCATACTGATCAGGTCAGTTCGGTACCAACATTCCCATAGCAGACAGTGGATCTCCAATCACAGCACCAGTTTTAGAAGGTATGGAATGTGGGAATCAAATCAAAACCAAAGTCAACCATGAAACAGCTTGTGTGATTCGGATACATCAAAGGTGAAAAGCAAAGCTATTTTCAAGTCAGATTAGTACAAGTACCTGCACAACTTGTGAAGTTTTATAGATCTCGGGGACTGACAGTAATGGATTAGTAAACTCCCTACAGATAATAATAATAATTGATTTCTAAAGTGCCTGGTATCTATCGACAGGTGCTCAATGCGCTAGATGTTGATTGCACCACCCTTGTTCTTTCCTGGCAGTGGAAGACACATCTCTTCACATCAAACAAACTGTAAGTAGACAGTTGGCTTTCTGAAAGATCACATACATTGTGTGGAAAATACTGGGATCCTGACATCAAAACATGACTGGCTCTTATTTTCTACATAACTGCTAATAGGACATGTTTTTACTGTGTGAATGTTCCATCAGGCTGCCACCTTCAGCAATATTGAAGGTACCCGCTGGTTTGCCATAAGCGAATATCTATTAAATATCTATTAAATCCTTAGAATGGTCATTAAAATGATTTCATGTCATTGTTTTGTTACAATGTGTCATATAAATGTACAAGGATGTAAGTATACATAGCCACCTCACTTGAAAAACCCTAATCACAACAAGTCATAAAATGACAAATACATCATTAGTGATTTCCCATTATCTGAGTAGCTGTGGAATCACAAATGTATTATTAGTCTTTTACATTTTCAGTTCAGATGAATTTGTTAATTTGTCATCGTTAGAAATACCAACTATCCCCCCAACATACCAATTTTCAAAGGAGATGACTGATATTTATCACACATCCAAGTATACATCCATCATTACATATAATACAGATTCCTTTCAATAAGCTTTGGTTAAGCTGTCATATAATATTTATTGGAATACATTGTTATGCAACACTGTAAATGCTATAGAGAAACAACATGACAATAAACTGATCTGATTACTCGTATGTAATAAGTGTTACTAGTTGACTCTCCAGCTGATATGTCATGAAGCCTAGCAGTGAACATGGTCCGCCCTGTCATCAACGTAATTAGCGCCAAGATGTTTGTAACTATGACTGTCAGACACTGATTTCAGTCATAGATCCAATTGTGGAACAGAGCATTGTCTGGCTGACACATGCTGACCAGATCAGAAGTACCAGGTATGTGGTAATCGTTACCAAACAACAGTGCCTCTAGATCCTACTCACAGTTCATGCTTTGCTAACGAAGCATAAGAAAGTAAGACACTATAGGGACAACAACTCCTTTATTATATATGATGCGACAGTTTGGTATAGATACCGTTGTCAAGCAACATCGCATCTTATGTAATAAAGAAGTTGTTATCCAAATAGTATGTTACTTTCTTGTTAGTCAACAACTTCTAAACAGATCCCCGAAGCATCTCATCAAGGAATGACATCCATGGAGACACCTAGTACTACTTAGTGGTTACTATGGCAACACGTGAGTCATCTTGTTGGCATATTATGTTGATGGAGCTGAAGATTGTTGACAGAAACTGTTGTAAAATATGTCTAAGATAGACGTGCAATGTTCGGTATGACCTGAGAGTAGGCATGGTCCTCGACATGGAACAACCATGTTGATTGGACAGAGGAAGTGACCTGTCCACACAGAGATGTCTGACATGTCAGCTGAAGTGTCCACAGAACACCATATGACTGTTTAAGTGACAAGAACATCAAATAAAGATAAAGATATACATTATAAAATCAAAGAGAAAACGTTTGATCAAGGAAATAAATGATTATACAATCGAATATATAACATACAATGCCTGTAGATTATAACAACACTGACATCACACACAGAATACTAACACATTGTTTGATCATCATCATCATCATCATCATCATCATCATAGAACATTAGAAGCACACATAACAAGAACATAACTTGTGAAACAAAGTATCAATAGATATTAATCAAAATATATGTAACTCAGTAGGCATATCTTGAGTACAAACAAACCACACAATGTAGACATACAAACTATGTATGTATTCCATGCATATTTAGGAATAATCTAAACCAAAACTTGAGCAATTTAGAACATATATGTACGAAAAGTAACCATAACAAAATGCTGTTTTCTTTAACCAAGAATGTCTCAAGTAAAACATGCTTGTTAACCAGAAACAAGAAACTGTTTGTACTTTAACCATGGATCTCTCTAACATGTGCTCAAATACATGTGTCTGTTAACTCGCTAGCAAAACCATCTTCTGATGAAGTCATCACTAACTCGTTCCCCTGAAGCAAATTGCTCCAGTAAATGTAGACCTGTTGAAGAAACGTGGTGCTCATTATTCTGTTTGAAGTATAATGCCATTCATGATGTACCAACGTTGATTTGATTCAGGGATACGACTAGAGCTACCTCCTGTTTCTTCCTCGGCCAAGACACAGGGAGAAGCATCATTCTGGACTAGCTTTACCCAAAACCTTCACAGCACACACATTCTGTTGATCTTGAAACTCTCATTATTCTACTCAAAATATACATTGTCTCCAATAAGCAAGAAATCAGGTAGGCTATAAGAGTGTGTTGTAAAAAGAATCAATTATGAATGCCCATTGTATATATTCAAATAACAACCATTTTATAGAGATGAACATCTTAAAATCATAAATATACAATTACTTTTGCTTAAAAAAATATATTCAGCATATCACAGAATCCCTATGATCATTTAAACTGTGGCTCAGGCAGATGTGCGTAATCATTAGCAACTACTTAATGCTATGTGCTTATCATGGTCTAGTGTGTTTATCATGGTCTAGTGTGCTTATCAGGTCTAGTGTGCTTATCAGGTCTAGTGTGCTTATCAGGGTCTAGTGTGCTTATCAGGGTCTAGTGTGCTTATCAGGGTCTAGTGTGCTTATCAGGGTCTAGTGTGCTTATCTGGGTCTAGTGTGCTTATCAGGGTCTAGTGTGCTTATCTGGGTGTAGTGTGCTTATCTGGGTCTAGTGTGCTTATCAGGGTCTAGTGTGCCTATCAGGGTCTAGTGTGCTTATATGGGTCTAGTGTGCTTATCTGGGTCTAGTGTGCTTATCAGGGTCTAGTGTGCTTATCTGGGTGTAGTGTGCTTATCTGGGTCTAGTGTGCTTATCAGGGTCTAGTGTGCCTATCAGGGTCTAGTGTGCTTATATGGGTCTAGTGTGCTTATCAGGGTCTAGTGTGCTTATCAGGGTCTAGTGTGCTTATCTGGGTCTAGTGTGCTTATCAGGGTCTAGTGTGCTTATCAGGGTCTAGTGTGCATCTTATGCTATGGGACAAACAGAGTACACTGGCCTCAAAACAAACATTCATCTACATACTGAAAGAACAAATCATATAAAGCTTTGGTGTATTAGGGACTATGATAACATCTCCATATAAATCATGCATGTTGGATTACACTGCAAATAGCTAACACAAGGGGGCAGGAAACACAAGACAAAACAACTTGGCACATGAATGTCCGCTGGCCGACTGCCTGCCGACGTAATGCTGGGATCGAGACATCTGCTACATGATGTGTCTCCTGTTTGGCTGGTGTGAGATAGCTGCTGAGATAGATGCTTCTCTGATGACACTCAACAAGTGTACCTAACATTTCTGTGATCAAGCGAGATATTTACCCTCTTACCCTCAACCGTGCACACACATATTTATGTAACGCAACAGGGATCATATACCAATATACCAGAATATTGGTATTTACACTCACACAGAATGTAGCAGAACTTACGACTTGTGGTTCAACAAATATATCTACCTACAGTTATTGAGTGTACTTCACAACTTTCAAACACAATACCTTAACCTTGACCCAAGGCCAGATCTGAGGTAGCAGTTTTATCTACAAATTACAAGATAAAATATTTTATCGGAAGTATTCAGAATTCACTTGACTCACATTTACAGATTATCTTTCCTGCATGTACTAAGTGGTAATCCCATACTGTACTGACCACCTAAATCATTCAGGCAAGATAATCCCCAAATCCTCCAAGCAAAGCTGGTACACATATGTCATAACCTACATACATGAACGCCTCCACATACATGTCCAAGTAACCCAGGGACCTGTTCCACTTAAGCAATCTTTGTTTTACACCTGTGTAAGTAGCATGTGGTCAACAAATGGCCTCAACGGTAGCATCACCTTGTAAAACAGGGCCTTGGCCTAACTCAGGACACAGTACAATGGCAGACTGACACTAGCAAGATGACGAGATGTATATCAGCTTCCACTCACTGACAAGTGAACTACTAGAAATATGAATTATATATTATATGCGCAAAAAAATAAACAGCCCCCAGTTAACACTGAATAAATAAAACTGATCATAGTAGATTGCCCAAATGATGTTACATACATTAATAGTAGATTGCCCAAAATAACGGTTGAAATTTCTACAACTTCAGTTACAGTCCAAGACCCCGTTTCACGAAGCTGTTGTAAGTCTGAGATCTCGTTACTTTTCTCGCAGCATTCGTACTTCCTATGTTACAGTATAGGAAGTATGAATGCTACGAGAAAAGTTACGAGATTTTAGGCTTACGACAGCTTTGTGAAACAAGCCCAGGAAGGCTGATGTTCCATGTGAACATAATGGAGAAGGTTGAAGGTTGTCAGAAATGATCAATTGGCAGTTTACTTCACTTCACATGCAAGTTAATGGTGAAAGTCTTAATGAATGGCTTCAGTGTATCCATGGTAACACAAAGAAGCTGTTTTCTTTCAACATTATCTATTTCAACGAGATGTATTAGAACAAGTGAAAGTTTATCAGTATTTTCATAACAGTTTGTCCTTGTTCCTTATGACTCAGGTGGTGTTTAAGTTTTGCGCATGTGTATAGTCAACCATTATCAGTGTCAAGTCTTCTTCATAATCACCAGTCAGTCACCAGGAACTATGACACAATGGATGTAAATCTAAACGTGATGTTATAAGCAACGTACATGGGGATGACATTTCTAATTAGAGTCAACAAAATAAACCTATCATTCAAAATATTTCTGCTCATTTATCAGTCTTGAAATCATGAACTACAAAATTTCAAAGGAGACCCAATCTGGTGAAAGCAGATTTTGTTTTCATGGTATTTCAGAAGGCAGGGCAAACAAGTTTAAGTTTTGATGCATTTCTTTTTAACAAAGCTGATGAAGACAATGAACACATGAATACTGCTACATGTGCTCTGGGTGGTTCTTCAAGCAGTCCATGAACGCAGACACCTTTATCTCCCCCTTACATATCCTGTGGATGGCTGTGAACAAGGGGAATCTGAAACAACACAGTATTTATTGTACAACGTTTGAAACACAGCAGCAATTTTGTAATTTGACTGGACAGGGAGAGTGAGTGAATATTGTGTTCCTTCAGCAGTATTACAGCAGTATCACGGCAGTGGACACCAGAAATGGTGTTCCTTCAGCAGTATTACAGCAGTAACAAGGCAGTGGACACCAGAAATGGTGTTCCTTCAGCAGTATTACAGCAATATCACGGCAGTGGACACCAGAAATGGTGTTCCTTCAGCAGTATTACAGCAATATCACAGCAGTGGACACCAGAAATGGTGTTCCTTCAGCAGTATTACAGCAGTATCACAGCAGTGGACACCAGAAATGGTGTTCCTTCAGCAGTATTACAGCAGTATCAATGGCAGTGGACACCAGAAATGGTGTTCCTTCAGCAGTATTACAGCAGTATCACGGCAGTGGACACCAGAAATGGTGTTCCTTCAGCAGTATTACAGCAGTATCACAGCAGTGGACACCAGAAATGGTGTCCCTTCAGCAGTATTACAGCAATATCACGGCAGTGGACACCAGAAATGGTGTTCCTTCAGCAGTATTACAGCAATATCACGGCAGTGGACACCAGAAATGGTGTTCCTTCAGCAGTATTACAGCAATATCACGGCAGTGGACACCAGAAATGGTGTTCCTTCAGCAGTATTACAGCAATATCACAGCAGTGGACACCAGAAATGGTGTTCCTTCAGCAGTATTACAGCAATATCACGGCAGTGGACACCAGAAATGGTGTTCCTTCAGCAGCAGTATCACAGCAGTGGACACTCGAAATGGTGTTCCTTCAGCAGTATTACAGCAGTGGACACCAGAAATGGTGTCCCTTCAGCAGTATTACAGCAGTATCACAGCAGTGGACACCAGAAATGGTGTCCCTTCAGCAGTATTACAGCAGTATCACAGCAGTGGACACCAGAAATGGTGTCCCTTCAGCAGTATTACAGCAATATCACGGCAGTGGACACCAGAAATGGTGTTCCTTCAGCAGTATTACAGCAATATCACAGCAGTGGACACCAGAAATGGTGTTCCTTCAGCAGTATTACAGCAATATCACAGCAGTGGACACCAGAAATGGTGTTCCTTCAGCAGTATTACAGCAGTATTACAGCAGTGGACACCAGAAATGGTGTCCCTTCAGCAGTATTACAGCAATATCACGGCAGTGGACACCAGAAATGGTGTTCCTTCAGCAGTATTACAGCAGTATCACAGCAGTGGACACCAGAAATGGTGTTCCTTCAGCAGTATTACAGCAATATCACGGCAGTGGACACCAGAAATGGTGTTCCTTCAGCAGTATTACAGCAATATCACGGCAGTGGACACCAGAAATGGTGTTCCTTCAGCAGTATTACAGCAATATCATCGGCAGTGGACACCAGAAATGGTGTTCCTTCAGCAGTATTACAGCAGTATTACAGCAGTGGACACCAGAAATGGTGTCCCTTCAGCAGTATTACAGCAATATCACGGCAGTGGACACCAGAAATGGTGTTCCTTCAGCAGCAGTATCACAGCAGTGGACACAGAAACGGTGTTCCTTCAGCAGTATTACAGCAATATCACGGCAGTGGACACCAGAAATGGTGTTCCTTCAGCAGCAGTATCACAGTATTACAGCAGTGGACACAGAAACGGTGTTCCTTCAGCAGTATTACAGCAATATCACGGCAGTGGACACCAGAAATGGTGTTCCTTCAGCAGTATTACAGCAGTATTACAGCAGTGGACACCAGAAATGGTGTCCCTTCAGCAGTATTACAGCAATATCACGGCAGTGGACACCAGAAACGGTGTTCCTTCAGCAGTATTACAGCAATATCACGGCAGTGGATACCAGAAATGGGCTTCACACACTGCCACTTGGGGAATCAAACCTGGGTATTTGGCATGGAGAGCAAATGCATTAACCACTAGGCTACCCTATTGCCCATGACTGGGCAGAGAATAGTACACTGTGTGCCCACTGACACAGATAAACATCATTAAATGAAATAAGATCTGTTTTCATGAAGTGAGAGAAAAAAAGGCTACATGATGTTAGCAGAGCCTTATGATCAAAGTGACGAGTATACTGCCGTACCTGCTCTCCATATCCTTGTTCTTTAACATGTAGTTGACCTCGAAGGCAGTGGGGGGACCTTGCAGCTTCTGGCCATTCAGCATTTCCTTCTCCAGCTCTTCAATTGTCTAAACAATCAAGCATATACCGTAAACCATGAAATAAATGGGGTTATAAAATCAGTGTCAAGTTCAGGCCTAAAGCAGTTGATCTCAAACAGTGAGTGTAGAGGGTTTGATGTATGCCTCAACACACTTCCACATTTCACATAGTTGCAGTGCAGGGCGGTGGGGTAGCCTAGTGGTTAAAGCGTTCGCTCATCACACAAAGACCCAGGTTTGATTCCCCACATTTCTGGTGTCCCTCACCGTGATATTGCTGGAATATGCTAAGTGGCGTAAAAATCAAACTTACTCACTCACTCACTATTTATTTATTATATTATAATCTATTTATATAGCGCCAAGTTCCAGCTAGGCTGCACACCTGCACTTTGTTTTTCCCTCGATCATAGGATGTCAGTCTCAACGGCACATCGTATTATTCAATCTCAACTACCTGGGGATCATACAACTCTTGCTGCCACTAGGCGCACCAAGTTAATGTGGCTTTCCCATCCTTACGAGGTACCCATTCACAGCTGGATGGACTGGGACACATAGTCACAGTACTTTGCCCAAGTTACTGCACGTTGCTGTACCCGCAACTAGGTGTTTGCACGTATTTATGTGGCCACCATCTGGTCATATACCAATGATTCGTGGATTCTTGCACAGGGTTGTGTTCTGTACACTAGGGGTTGTGACGACACTGAAACATTAGTTGCAGTGCACCCAAGTATATGTGATCAATGACACAGTCCTTCAAAGAAGACAAGTCAGTATTTTTCAGCATAAACAGATGTAACATTTTTTCAGTAGCAAATTTCTTTCGTAATTGGCAGTGAAAATACAACCCATCTACAGGGCAGGAATTTTTCCATTTCACCAATCCTTTATAAAACCTGCCCAAAAGGGATGGTGGTTGCATGGCTGTAAGTAACTCAGAATGAATTAATACTGCTTAAAGCCGCATCAGCAATTTTTCAGCTATTCGCTTCAAAGAGCAACTTGAATCACACATCACACATGTCTATGTTCTGAGATCATATATATATATAGTATGTGTAATGACAATACTTGTATTCCAAGAGTAACCAAATCTGTGGATATTATGGTGTGACCAACTCACCTTGCCTGTTTTAGCAAAGGCTTCAGCTACCCTCCTGTTTCGGCCTCCGTAGCAGGTGGTGACCAGGTCAGCCACTCCACAACTCTCCAAGAATGTGCCCTGAGAGGAACCTACACAATCACACTCAGTTCAACATTGGGTTAGGCTGTGTGCATGGTGTTTAGCAGCATAACATGGTCATGGCAACATTAATGTAATCCAGGCAAGGTGTTGTTGACAATGGCAGACAATGTGTCATGGTGACTTTAATGTAATCCAGGCAAGGTGTGGTTGAAAATGGTAGACAATGTGTCATGGCGACATAACTGTAATCCAGGCAAGGTGTGGTTGACAATGGTAGACAATGTGTCATGGTGACTTTAATGTAATCCAGGCAAGGTGTGGTTGAAAATGGTAGACAATGGCGACATTAATGTAATCTAGGCAAGGTGTGGTTGACAATGGTAGACAATGTGTCATGGCAACATTAATGTAATCCAGGCAAGGTGTGGTTGACAATGGTAGACAATGTGTCATGGTGACTTTAATGTAATCCAGGCAAGGTGTGGTTGACAATGGTAGACAATGTGTCATGGCGACATTAATGTAATCCAGGCAAGGTGTGGTTGACAATGGTAGACAATGTGTCATGGCGACTTTAATGTAATCTAGGCAAGGCATGGTTGAAAATGGTAGACAATGTGTCATGGCGACATTAATGTAATCTAGGCAAGGCAATGGTGTGGTTGACAATGGTAGACAATGTGTCATGGCAATGACACATTAATGTAATCTAGGCAAGGTGTGGTTGACAATGGTAGACAATGTGTCATGGTAGCTGACATTAATGACTTCATAATTTAATGTAATCCAGGCAAGGTGTGGTTGACAATGGTAGACAATGTGTCATGGCGACATTAATGTAATCTAGGCAAGGTGTGGTTGACAATGGTAGACAATGTGTCATGGCGACTTTAATGTAATCTAGGCAAGGTGTGGTTGACAATGGTAGACAATGTGTCATGGCGACTTTAATGTAATCTAGGCAAGGTGTGGTTGACAATGGTAGACAATGTGTCATGGCGACTTTAATGTAATTCAGGCAAGGTGTGGTTGACAATGGTAGACAATGTGTCATGGTGACATTAATGTAATCTAGGCAAGGTGTGGTTGACAATGGTAGACAATGTGTCATGGCGACTTTAATGTAATTCAGGCAAGGTGTGGTTGACAATGGTAGACAATGTGTCATGGTGACATTAATGTAATCCAGGCAAGGTGTGGTTGACAATGGTAGACAATGTGTCATGGTGACTTTAATGTAATCCAGGCAAGGTGTGGTTGACAATGATAGACAATGTGTCATGGCGACTTTAATGTAATTCAGGCAAGGTGTGGTTGACAATGGTAGACAATGTGTCATGGTGACTTTAATGTAATCCAGACAAGGTGTGGTTGACAATGATAGACAATGTGTCATGGTGACTTTAATGTATTCCATCAAGGAGTGGTCGACAATGGCAGGCAGAGTCACAGCGGAAAGTTGGTTCACTAGCATTCAGTAACAATACATCCAGGTTCTACATGGTACTGTGACCTACTGATAACCATGTCGGTTATTTCATCTAGATCCTGCACTGGGGTCAGACTTCTACACGCACATGGATTTTTAGCAAACAACTATTTTACTCAGTTTCACAGCAAATTATTTACTAATGGTAAACTATTACACATTTGTTTTCAACATTAAGCTTAGTTTGAGTACTTAATTCATCACTGACACTATATACACTGTTTCGGAAATTTACCTTTGGACCTTATATTTGTTTACTAACCCCTGTGGTAATCATATCCTGATTCTTTGAGATGTGTTTAACAGGGCTTATAACCATCTAATATCTTCTTACCTGGGTAAAACACCTCACAGAACTTGACCATCTCCATCAGCCCGAGTCTGATGACAGCTGCCCTTGGTGTTGTCTCCATAGCGAGACCGTCGGGCGATGCCAGCTCCTACTGCCACGATGTTCTGTTACAAACACTGACTGTGTCATTACTTGTCTTACAGTGTACAATAATTACTCCTGAGGAGGTCAAAGAAGGATTTGACCCCCAAGGGTGGGTGTGATGGACATGTTGAACTCATCACAAGGAATCATTCATTTTGCTATAGTGAAATTCATCTTTATGTTTATCAAAACTGGAAACCATCATCTTATCCATTACAGTAACCTAGCTATGCACCATAAAAAATTAAGTAAACAACTCAATTTTGCCTCATCCTTCATCTACTGTCCAAACATCTCATGTATATATATCAGCCAAAATTACTTCTCATGTACCACTTGCTTGACAATGACATTAAAATCTATGTCGAAACGTCGCCTATACAGAATAAAGAAGTTGTATATCCATAAATATAGTCCTCATCCTTCAAGGCAATATTGATCATGTGACAAGTCAATATTCAAGGTTAATGTCAATCACATGATTTGCGGGGTTTACATTGAGATTCATTGTTTTGTCAAGGGTTTTCTGACTAACAGAGGTATTACTTGCCTCTATTAAAGACAGCAAGAACACATTCTGAAGTAATAACACAAATGTCCTTTCAAAGGAAGTTGTATATAAAAAAACAACTGTGAAGACGCTGATTTCAATATCTAAAACATGGCCAATAACACTGACATGTGAACTTAAGCAGCAGGTGAAAAAGTCCCACTGAATGCACTTCCCAGATGACCTCTGCACCTCCCAAATGACCTCTGCACCTCCCAGATGACCCCAAACCTTCACTGTACCTTCAGTGCTCCGCAGACCTCCACAGTCTCCTCATCTTCCACCACCACAATGGAGAGTAGTCAGTCTGGAAGGCGTCCTTGAGGATAGCTCCCAGGGCCTTGTCCTTACACCCTATAAGGATATGTATCGCCATGAGTATCATGAACGTCCTATGTACACAATGCCATGTGCATATGTTGGTCTTTGTCTAGAAAAACATCTTGGACCAAGAAAACATGGAATGCAGAATTTTCAATTTTAGTTTTCTTGACCATATTTGTTTTGTAAGCTGGTAGATAGGAACATTGCTGATCTCTGTATTTCACTGAAGGTTGTCTATAAATAACAGCCAAAAAAGGTTCTTGACATTTGTAATTTCACCATCTCAGTAAACAAATGGCAAAAATATGTTACAAAAACATATAAGCTATGTGTCTCTATCAGCAGGACTGTAGCCATCACAGAGGACTGTAAGAATGACACACCTATGTATATGCAACTGACCAATAGTGGCTTCACAATAGTCTTCCTTAGCCACCTCATTGGCAATGTTGGCGCCCATCAAGATGGTGCATGGGATCTTCAGCATCTCTCGGATTACATCTGAGATGAGCAGGATTCCTCCTCCCTCGGCCACATCAAAGCCCTGTTATAACCAAACCAAGGCTCTTAAGACAATGGCTCAGTCCGGAAATATACACGATGTCAAGTTTGGCAACCCAAAGTGAAACAATAGAAAGAAAACATCAAAGGCCCTAGGAACCCATTATTTTTTTTTAAATAAGCAGTAAAACTTGTTGGTAGAAGTTAATTGCATGGTTCCAGAACTTTCAGACATCTCTCATGAGTTGTTCCTGCAGCCTACACCCCAAAACATGATTAAAGTCAAAGAAAATCCTCTTGTATCACTGAAGATGTTGACGACTGCAGTCTTCTTCATTCTTCACATTCAGTAATCTAGAGAAAAAATGAACTAAAGGAACCACTTATTTTAGTTCACTTTATGCTCAACTAAAATGCACAGCAAGTGGCCAGAATCAAACAACAGTTAATTATATGCATGTTCGGCCAAGGTTATTGTATGTAGACTGACCTGGTCAACACCTGGCTAAGAAAGTAGTTACGCTGTATGTAACACCTATGAGTGTCCGCTCTTTTAGTTATGGAGCTCTAACACAATAGAACCAGCTACAACTCGAACCCAGACTAACAACATCCCTTGATTCCTTCAAATGTGCCTTAAAAACATTCCCCTTCAGAAAATACTACAGTGATTCACAAACATATCCTGCAATATTTCAACCATTTTATGTACAAATGTTTTATGTCTTATAGCACTCCCACCACCTTTATATGTAGCATTTTGAGCATACACTTTATGTATGGAAACCAGCGCGGTATAAATACACATATTAATATTATTATTATTAGTGTCAGTTCACACATATGTCGCCGACAGCCTTTTATTTCTCTATCTTTCCATCAGAAGGCTGCTTCTCCACTGTCTGATATAGGGAGTTGTACGTGCTACCCGTATTTGGCTCACCACCAAAAGCACGGGCTTCTACACCTGTGACGTATGACAATTTGAATTCACATTCAATTGTCATCCGTCAGCCATCACACATGTATGGCTGACACAACATCTTCCTAATGTTGTATTTCATTCACAGGTAAGCACCCTCTCTATATCCTTTCTCTATTTCATAGTGCTAAATATCTAATTATTATCAGTTAAGTATTTTAAGTTAGTAAACATATTGTTACCCGATCGGCATAAAGTAAACATATCTATCGCGTATCACTTACTAACTTAAGCACAAGCACGTAAGACAGTGTGTGAAAGTATAATTATATTATATTTTATAAACCTTTTATTATCAACACCAGCTGTATATATTTTTAGCAATAATATGATGCATCAGCTTTATGTGACGTCATCATGTAAACAATCAACATTTTTCTATAACGTATGCCACTGTGCTATTTGATTATCAATTGAATAATTAGTATGACAATTTGAATTCACATTCAATTGTCATCCGTCAGCCATCACACATGTATGGCTGACACAACATCTTCCTAATGTTGTATTTCATTCACAGGCAATAAACAAGATGTTTCACACAAACGAGGGTCTCCGTCCGTTATTTTGTCTGCTTCGCAAGACTCAGGCCTGAACCCGCGACACATATATATGTGGTTGTTCACCTTGATGAGAGTGACAGCCACAGCCCCCTCCTTCATGGTCCCTTGCAACTGTTTACACACGCCGCGCACAAACTGGTGGGGCAACACAAAGATGAGGATGTCAGCATCTGCAGCGGCATCCTTTACATCCGGGATGGCAACCTACATCAACACAAAGTGAACACGTCAGTGGCTTCGTATCATAGCTATTTGTAAGAAGCGACTAACAGCAGTGTTCGAAATACCCCATATATAAGGGTGCCATGGCACGGTAAATATTGAAATGGCACAGATGAAAAATGTTCTCTGTGCCCTTATGTCACGCCTAATTTTTTAGAGACATAATTCACCTTTAGTCGTTTAATCCCCCAAACAAAACACTAAGCAAATGACAAACAAGCAAAAACATTTATTGACTATAAGCCCATTGAAATCACTGGAATTATGATGGATGATGTAAAGAAAACTGGTTGTTTTTCATTTAAATGTAATTTTTAGAGTAAAATTGATATTTTATACTTATCCTGACTCATGCTCTTTTGCTTGTCTTCTTCTTCTTGCGAACATAGTGGAACACTTGTATCTCCCCTAATTGAAGCTCCCTTCAATGTAAAATCACTAATTAGTACTCACCACGAGTTACCTCCCTTCCACAAGCCCCTTCAATGGGAGCAGAGCCACCTCCACCCATGTGCCTCACTCTCTCCTCATATACTGAGCCCAACATTTGAATTTACAGGAAATCCAAAGTGTTATGTGGGGAGGATGGGAGGAGCTTACCTCATGAGTCAGGATAAGTATAAAATATCAATTTTACTCTAAAAATTACATATTTTTCCTTATCCTGACTCATCTCTTGCTTGTAGAATCCTACGGAAAGGAGGTGGGAATATATAATACTTTGGATTTTAATAATTAGTGATTTGAACTGTGATGATTGTAATAACCCTATGGGAACTTCATAAAGGCACTGAACTGATGAATTCCTGCTGCTAACTTATCAGCTGCCATATAAAGGTTATTACAATGTACTTATTATGATAAAGTATATATAACATTAATACAATGCTTAAGACTAATAGACTTAAGCTTGTTAATATGCTAGTATAAACTCCTTAGAGTTTGTTAGCTAAAATACTTTAAGATATAAACATAGTACTAAGCTTAAGATATGATTAAACTTAAGCTAATTATATAATAGCAAAACTCTTTAGAGTTTGTTAGTTAATATACTTATATGATATAGATATAATGCTGAGCTTAAGATATGAATAAGCTTTAGCTACATATATAATAGCAAAACTCTGTAGAGTTTGTTAGCTAATATATTTTTACAATATGAGTATAGTACTGTGCTTAAGATATAATTAACTTAAGCTACATATACAATAGCCAAAAACTCTGTAGAGTTTATTAGCTAATAGATTTATAATGTAACCATAGTACTAAGCTTAAGATAAGATTAGACTTAAGCTAAATGTATATAGCAAAAAACTCCTTAGAGTTTATTAACTAATATACTTTTATGTTATAAACATAGTACTGAGCTTAAGATATGATTAAACTTAAGCTATATATATAATAGCAAAACTCTGTAGAGTTTTGTTAGCTAATACATTTTATAATGTAACCATACTGCTTAAGATATGATGAAACTTAAGCTAATTGTATAATAGCAAAAAACCCTTTAGAGTTTGTTAGCTAAAATACTTATATGATATAAACCTAGTATTGAGCTTAAGATATGAAGGAAAACCTTAAGCTAAATATATAATAGCAAAAACCCTTTTAGAGTTTTGTTAGCTAATATACTTATATGATATAAACATAGTATTGAGCTTAAGATATGAAGGAAACCTTAAGCTACATATATAATAGCAAAAACTCCGTAGAGTTTGTTAGCTAATACAAGTTATAATGTAACCATAAAGCTTAAATTATGATGAAACTTAAGCCAAATATATAATAGCAAAAAACTCTTTTAGAGTTTTGATAGCTAATATACCTATATGATATAAACATAGTACTGCGCTTAAGATATGAATAAGCTTAAGTTACATATATAATAGCAAAAACTCCGTAGAGTTTGTTAGCTAATACATGTTATAATGTAACCATATTGCTTAAGATATGATGAAACTTAAGCCAAATAGCAAAAACTCTTTAGAGTTTGTTAGCTAATATACTTATATGATATAAACATAGTACTGAGCTTAAGATATGAATAAGCTTAAGCTACCTATATAATAGCCCAAACTCTGTAGAGTTTGTTAGCTTATATATTTTTACAATATGAGTATAGTACTATGCTTAAGATATAATTAACTTAAGCTACGTATATAATAGCCAAAAACTCTGTAGAGTTTGTTAGCTAATGCATTTATCATGTAACCATAGTACTACTCTTAAGATATGATTAACTTAAGGTAAATATATAATAACCAACTCTGTAGAGTTGTTAACTTATATATTGTATGATGTAATAATCATAGTACTGTGATGATAAAAGAACTTAAGCAAAATTATATATAGCATGTAGCTATTTAGTACTGTTATAAGATAAGTAGAAATCTGTAAGATTGACTTATCTTCTCGAGAACTGTCAACTGTTGTCACGAGGACCATGGGATCAATTGGTGGATACCTGAGGCGTCCTCGGTGGTGATATCTCTCAGATAATGGTTGGCAACCACCATATCGGATCTCAGAAATAAACCCTCCATTATTTCAAATAACATTTGTGTAGATCAATTGTAGAAGTTAGCTCTAATATCATGAGTATTAAAAGCTCATGGAGGGTCGGATTAGGTCCATCCGTCTTGTATGCACGTAGTATGACAGTTCTGATCAAAAGCGGAGATATAGTGCATGAGACTTCATTCTGCGTAAGTTGATGATAGAGGAAATAATCTGTTGCATTTTCCCTCCTGTTTGGTTCGGTGGAGATAAATTTACAGTGCTCTTGCTGGCCATCGTGATAGAATCATCGTATCATGGAGTCAAGTATGTCATCCAGGCGTGTTCATAAACCTCACTTGTGAGGTGTTGGAACACTATATTCAGATCCCAAGTTGGAGGGTGAAACTTCCGTTTTAATTCTCCAATCAAAAGCTTAAGTAGGTTTACTAACCATCTAGTTGTGTTAGTAGCTTGATGATGAAATTCAGCTGTAGTCTGAGGCGGCTGTGGATTTAGATCCACTTGTATCCCGTCGTCTAGGTTATTAAGCTCGAAGTCCTTGGCGATGTAGGTGCACAACCAGGTGTGTCTGTCCTCGTTGAACTTTATGTAAAATCGCCTGACTGCCGTGCCTCGTCCTAACTTGACAGGGGAGGTCTCTAACCTGAAGAAAGCAGCCCAATCATGAAGGTTCAGATTAACTGGACTGTAAGGAGGCTTGCTTTCGTTCACTGATATATAGTTGTCACTTGTAGCGTAAGTCTTGAACTGTGAACTAAGATCGACCTCTCGTGGAGTGCGTTGTCCAACAGCGGTCCAATCAGAACAAGGCATTTTGATTCTGTAGAATACCAGCGCTGTGATGTCACCCGGTGTAGCAGGAAAAACCTTGTATAAAATCTTGCCGTCGTTGATATTAGCATAATCGTCGGTCTTCACCGTAGCTTCGAAGTTACCCGAGTGACCGCGTGTTTGAGGGTTAAAGGTAAGCAGCGAAACCTCCGGTAGAAATACCTCGCTCTGTAATATTAATGCTGGGTAGGTTATTTTCCTGGCTGTCGTGAAAGTAACTTCAGTTTTGAATATAATTCCGACTTCCTTATATAAAGGTACAATAAACTTGCAAGTTGTCAGCTTGTAGACTGTATACATGAATGTATCGTCATAATTGTAGAATTAAAGCTGAACTTGTTGTACATATTTCTTCTCAGAAACTTTGGCGATTATGAGTTATACTGGCTGTAACAAGGCTGCTGTTCAATTTCGATATTGAATTGTCTGCAGATCTGCGTAATGGTCGCATGTAGATAATCGTATCGTAGTCGGGATTGCATATTCTAGCAATCTATCACGGAAAGGTTGATTCCTGTGAAGATCTATGAAGCGTCGTTGACTAATTAATACAGCGGCGTTCTGTGTTGTAAATAGCCTGTGCAATTGTCTTAGCGTAGGCTTATAGGCGGCATATGGCATACAGTTGATAGACAACTTATCGCGATGTCTTGAAACGGACTGGCGAGTAGCTATATATGACGAGTGGCTAATATATGGAGACCTTGGAGGAGATTTCCTCGGTGGGCCGGAGACTTGTGAAGCTCTCGAAGTATCCATTCTAGATTTTCTGTGTGAAGTAGACTTGGAGCCACTTAGCCTTGGCGACCTTAGCGAAGGTATCGAGTCAGAGCCCGATCAGTATATATATATATATGGCTTGCCCATGAGCGACCTCTGTGTTCAACAGGAGTGAGTGAGTGAGTGAGTTTAGTTTTCGCCGCACTCAGCAATATGTGGGGTCGGTGAAGCTACTACTCCTCCGCGGCGTCCCTTGTAACTGGTGAGGCTCTAGCTCCTTGGCGGAGGTGGCCTGGGACTTCCTTAGCGAAGTGTCTAGAGTCGATCAATATATGGCGTTAGCTTCATACAGGGTGTGGTTCTTGCTGGTTCTGCATAAGTAGAGCCGAGTAGATCATCCTATCATCTTCAGAAGTCGTGTCCACGAAATCTGGTGATAAGAATCTCATTGATCGTTCTAGATCTATTAAGGCCAGAACATCGCCTCTGGCGTTTGAACTTTATGGCTTTATGGTAGGCTGTGTCCACATTCTGTGGCACCGCAGCAATCGAGTCGATCGGAGGTAAGGTGATGGCGTCTGCATCGTCTTCCTTTATCAGGTATGTCTGCGCCCGAGTTGCCACTCTTGGAAGGTGAAGAGATCTAGGTTGTTTACCATCCAATATCGTATCTCAGCGTCTGAGAAAATGATGCCTCCATCATCTTCTATCCCAGCATCGCTGATGAGAGGTTGATGCTCTTCTGATGGTGGACTGTGTATTTCTATCTCTATGTCGGGTGGCCTTCGGGGAGACCTGACTGTAGACTTGTGTGCAGACTTGTGTGGTGACCTGTGAAGCGATCGGCGTGGTGATGTCTGCGAGGAGATCGTGATTGAGCGGCGAGGAGATCGTCTTGGTGATCTCGTCTATGGGTTGACCTTCGGGAGACCTGTGAGGAGAATGTTGATAGCCCGAAGCTCTTGTGTAGTCAGGTGTCCTTCGCGAAGGCCTTGCGAAGCTTCCTCTGCGTCGGTCCTGGGAGCGGCGACTTGACCTTCGCGAAGGCTTCCGTGAGGTCTGGTGGTCTGAGTCCGCATCTAAGGATGAAGCGAGGAAGGTGATGATCTATCCGCGCCAGCGAAGGCCTTAGCGAAGGCTGTACATCTGGGTCGCCGTCGAGGTGGTCTGCGACTTCCTTCGCGAAGGTGGCTTCGTCGTGGCTGCTAACGCTGGCGGGGGTGCCTCTGGGGTGTCGTCTGCGTTGGAACCTTCCAGCGAAGGCTCAGGCCTTGGGCTGGCTGCTTCTCCAGTCTGTAGTGGCCCTCCATCATGATCATGATTTGCGCAACAGTTCATCTGGGATGGTCTGCGGCGAAGTAGTCGGTGCCCTCTCTCTGCGATGTTAGCGGCGGGGCCCTCAGGGAAGTCGTCTGGCGTCAGTGTAGAGACATCAGGCTG